GGGGTGATGAGACAGCCTGGGTTCTGGTGGCTGCTCTGCTGTGGACCAGCTCTGTGATCCTCGATGAGGCCTTTACCTCTCTGAATCTCTTTTCCCTCCTGAAAATGGAGCGCATCACCTACCTGACTCTTTGGGACATTGTGAGTCTCAAGTAGGCACTGCCACATCCAAGCACCTTTCCCTAGCCTGAGGCACTCTCCCCTCTTACACACCCACAGCCTTTAGAGGTCCCTTGGGCGCCCATCCCTACACCTCTTCACCCTCCCCCAAGGGCTGCACTGCGCCTTCTCTGCCCACCACACAGCTGGCACAGAGCTGGACACAAGATGGTCACCCCTTCACCCCAAATGTGGGTTATCTGCCCCTAAGGGAAAGCTGCACTCAGCCACCTTCCTGCCCTGGGACAGAAGCAGCATCCAGAGTTACCCAAGCCCAGGACACAGCCTGTCAGACCCCCTGCAGGGAGGGACGCGGTCACCACAGCCTGGGCCTGAGGGGTGCAGGGAGGAACTTGGGCCACCACAGCCTCCGGTTGAGGGGCGCAGGGAGGAATATGCCCACCACAGCCTCGGCTTGAGGGGTGCAGGGAGGAACGCGGCCACCACAGCCTCAGGTTGAGGGGCGCAGGGAGGAATGTGCCCACCACAGCCTCGGCTTGAGGGGTGCAGGGAGGAATGCGGCCACCACAGCCTCAGGTTGAGGGATACAGGGCAGGTCGTTGCCCCTGAGGGCCAAACTTGTGTAACATATTGAGATTACTTTGATCATTAGATTTCTAAAATGAACAAACAGGGCACACCCACATCCCAGGCAATGGGCCTGCCGATCCTTCCTGTCCAGGACATAAAATAGTCCCTCCCCGAGCCAGGCCTGCAGGGGCAGGCAGCACCGAGACAGGAAGCGCAGGCACCCCAGTGCTGACGGAGGGAGGGAGACCCCAGCAGGATGGCTCCAGGTGGGGCTTCCGTCCTCCTGGGCTGGGCATCCCCGTGCTCTCAGAGCCACCAGCCCCAGAAAGGTGGGCTAACTCCCTGGGAGAGGGACCGTCTGCGGGCCCTGCTCTGCCTGGGCCCGGGACAGCGCATTATGTAATATTTTAGTCCCATTCTTGCCTAAGACGTGAATCTCGATTTCTTTCATTCCAAAGCCGCTTCACAAATCCCTCTTCACAGCCAGAGAAGACGCAGGGAGCAGCAATGGCTGGGGATGTAGCTAGGGAAGCCAGACCGGCAGTGAGGACGGTGAGGGGCGGCAGACAGAGAACGGGAGGTGGAGACGGGTGATTTCTGGAGATCCTAATTTGGAGAAGGGGGTTCCTTTCAAATCTGTCCCAGTTTTCACGCCTTTCTTCCATCCCTCCACTCCCGTGTCCTCATGTAAAATGTTGGCTGTGCATTTTGACAAGCTAGGAGGACCGGAAAACCTCTACGTGAAGGAGGTGACCAAGCCGAGCCTGGGGGAGGGTGAAGTCCTCCTAAAGGTGGCGGCCAGCGCCTTGAACCGCGCGGACTTACTGCAGGTACCCAGTCACTGTGGGGTGGGGCACTAGGGACCAGGGCCTGCTCCTGGGGCAGAGCTGCTTGGGTCAGGAACTGACTGACCGTCAGCCAGTTTTGAAGGGAGCTGGGCAGAGCTGGGCCAGCATGGCTAGATGGGTGGCATGGATTCTTGGTGTCTGTGTCAGATTCAGGAGCAGGACTGCAGCACCTGCCATCGTGCCCTCAGAGCCGGCCGGGGATACCCCCTTACCTAGCCCCACCCCTGGGGCCATGCTGGGAGAGTGGGCACAGACATCAGCAAGGAGAGGTGCTGCGGGTTGTTTTGTGCTCACTCTGTGCCAGGCACTGTGCTCAGTGGATGTTTTAATTTGAGCCTCACAACCACCCAAGGAGATGGGTCCTTGTGTCTCCATTCCAGTAATGAGGAAAGTGTGAATGACGCCCGGGAAACTGCATAAGCCAGAAGCCTGGGATTGACCCCAGGTCTCTCACTCCTCATCCGCTTCATAAGCCTAGGTCTCTGAGCCTCCCTTGTAGAAGATCTCCAGTCAGCCCTCTTCTCCCCACTGCTCCATCCAGGGCCACGCCAGTTCCATTTTACCCGGATGCTCGCAGTGCTTCCTTCAGCCCCCTCTCCACGTGGCAGCCAGAGCGACCCCCAGAGAGACGGCCACGCACTTAGGACGAAATGGAAACTGTCTGCTCGCTATGGGGCCCTGCTGGTTGGGCTGCTGACACCTCCTCCCCCTGAGCAGTAGCTCCTGTGCCTTGCTCAGCACCCTCCAGCCGCACTCCACGTGCCTGCCTGCCCTGAGCTTGCCCTTCCCTCTCCCTGGGATGCCCTTCAATCATTCTTTGTATGTCTGGCTTCTCCTCTCATAGCAGCCAGTTAGTTCCCACAAATCTGGTTTGTGTGTGTGCGTGTGTATGTGATTATGTGTGCACGTGTGTATGTGCGTGTGTGTGCGTGTGTGTACGTGCGTGTGTGTGCGTGTGTACTTCTTTAAAGTCTGTCTTCCCCCACTAGACTGTAAGTTCTGCAATTACTGTTATTTGGAGACTACCTGAATTTTCTCCCACCCTAGAATTTACTCCCACCTGCAGTAGACTCCAAGCCAAAATCCACCTTCTCTCTCCAGCAACAGGGAGGGCTGACATTTAACCCCTCTTATCAGACTCACTTACTGTGAGCCCCTCCCTCTACAGAGACAGGCCAGTATTCCCCGTCCCCAGAAGCCAGCAACAAAGCAACATTTTGGGCATCTAGACACATGGCAAAACTGGGGCCTGGCTGCTGGGGACACTGGAAGATTGGGGATGCAGCCATGGCTCTGCTGCCCAGTGGGGGCCAGGCTCAGTACGTCACTGTCCCTGAAGGGCTCCTCGTGCCTATCCCAGAGGGACTGACCCTGCCCCAAGCTGCAGCCATCCCGGAGGCCTGGCTTACCACCCTCCAGCTGCTGCACTGTGTGGGTGAGGAGGACCTCTACCCTGTAGAGATCCCCTCCCACTAGCCCCGCCCTGTCACCTGAGGCCAACTGCTGACCCCAAACCATGCATCTGCTGGCCCTGAAAATGTGAGCCTTTCATCAACACCCTGACATGCCCTAGCCGCTAATCCCAGAGCTAGCCCAGACATGTCCCCCATGGAGACAACTACAGGCAGTTTTTTATTTGTTTCATTTTGTTTTTGAGACACGATTTCACTCCATTGCCCAGGCTGGAGTGCAGTGGTGCGATCGTGGCTCACTGTAGCCTTGACCTCCTGTGCTCAAGTAATCCTCCCACCTCAGTCTCCCAAGTAGCTAGGACTGCAGATGTGGACCACCATGCTCAGCTAATTTTTTTATTTTTTGTAGAGATGTGGTCTCCTTATATTGCCTAGGCTGGTCTTAAACTCCTGGTCTCAAGCAATCCTCCTTCCTTGGCTCCCAAAGTGCTGCGATTTTAGGTGTGAGCCACCACATCCAGCCTATGGGCAGTTTTATGACCAATATGAGGCAAAAGCAAGGTTCTCAGAGCAGTTCCAGCTGCTTGTCCCATCCCCAGAGGGGAGGAAACTGTCCTTCTGCTTAGGTCCCTCACAGGCAGTGGAGGAGATGCTGTTGGTTAATTCCTCACACAAAAAGGTATCAGAGTAGACCAGACATGTGGCCTGGGGACCTCCCTATCCCAAGAGCTCTGGACATTTCTAACTCTGTCCCAGGAACTCTGGACAGTTCTAACCCTGGCTCAGGAGCTCTGGACAGTTCTAACCCTGGCTCAGGAACTCTGGACAGTTCTAACCCTATCCCAGGAGCTCTGGACAGTTCTAATCCTGGCTCAGGAGCTCTGGACAGTTCTAACTCTGTCCCAGGAGCTCTGGACAGTTCTAACCCTGGCCCAGGAGCTCTGGACAGTTCTAACCTACCCAGGCCTGGCAGTTCCCTGGCTCAGGACTCTGGACAGTTCTAACAAGCTCTAGACTTCCCTGGCTCAGGAGCTCTGGACAGTTCTAACCCTATCCCAGGAGCTCTGGACACTTCTAACCCTGGCTCAGGAGCTGCCTTCAGGACAGTTGTGACACTCAACCCACCCCGTTCGATGGATTAATCTTGCCCAAGCCCAGCCCTGGCCAAGGCCCCTGCTGCTATAAAACCTCCGATGGCTCCTCACGCTCAGCGCCCTCCATGACTCAGGCCCCATGACCTTCAACCTGGTCTCTCCTCACACCCTCAGGGCACAGAGGGTTTATGTTTCCAAAGCCAACCCTGCGCCCTCCCATCCCCACGCCCTCACTGGCTCAGGATGCTCTGGTGTTGTTGCTACAGGAGGAGTGCAAGAAGGGGAGACCATGCTTATCCATGCCAGCATGGGCGATGTGGGCACAGCTGTCATCCAGCCGACCAGGCTGTTCAATGCCGTCCCCCCAGTGACCATGAGCTCCAAGGAGAACATTCAAATGGCGCAGAAGCTGAGAGGCTGGGTGCTGCAGCTGGGTTCGATTATAAGAAGCAGGGCTTCTCTGGGGGCTCTGAAGGCCACACAGGGGATGTGTGTGTGTGTGTGTGTGTGTGTCTGTGTATATGTGTGTATGTTTGGAGGTTTTGTCCATGTGTTTGGAGGGGGTGTGTGTGTGTGTCTTTGGAGGGTATGTGTGTATGGGCCTGTGTGTTTGCAGGGTGTGCGTGTGTGTTCAGGCCTGTGTTTGGAAGGTGGGTGTGTGTGTGCATGTGCATGGGCCTGTGTGTTAGGAGAGTGTGAGGGGGGCCTGTGTGTTTGGAGGGTGTGTGTGTGCGCATGCATGTGTGTGCGGGCCTGTGTGTTAGGAGGGTATGTGCATGTGTGTGTGTATGTGCATGTGCACGGGCCTGTGTGTTTGGAGGAGAGCCCAAGCTGATCCTGACTCCCTGGCTTAACCCTCCCTCTCTTATCCTATCCTCTCCCCTTTTGTAACCTTTCCTCCTCCTTTCTCTCCTCTATTAGCAGCTATCTATTGCTGCATAACAAATTACCCAAAACTTAGTGGCTTAAAACAATGCATATTATTATCCCCACCATTTCTGTGGGTCAGGAATCTGGGAGCAATTCAGCTGGGTCCTTCAGCTCCAGGTCTCTCTCAAGGCATCAGCCAGGCCTGTGGTCATTGCCAGGCTCACCTGGGGAGCAATCGGCCTGCAAGTTCACTCTCATGGCTGTCACAGGCTTCAGGCTCTTGTCAGATGTTAGCCAGAGACATCAGTTCCTTGACATATGAGCCTCTCCGTAGGGCAGCATGAAACATGGCCAGTGGTTTCCTTCAGAGAGAGCAAGCAAGAGTGAAAGAAAGTATCCCATGTCCCTTAGGGAAGCCACCACCTTTTGGTGACCTAATCTTGGAAGTGACATCCCATCACTTCTGCCACATCCTTCTTGTTAGAGGTATGCCTGTAAGTCCAATCCACACTCAAAGGGAGGGACCGGAGGGTGTAAATACTGGAAGGTAGAGGGTCATCAGGGGACCATTCTGGAGGCTGCCTGCCACATCTTCCTTCTCCTCCTCTGCATCCCAACCCTCTCTTCTTTCTCCTTTACAATCCCCACTCTCTACTGCATCTTTCACAAAGCCTGAAGATGGTCTAACCAATGGAAGCAAAATTATTAATTAGAACTAGAAAATATGTACCAAGGAAAGAAGAAAAAAACATGTTCATCATAAAGGTTAGTACAATAACTGTGAGCAAGTATCATGCATGATTCTGAGCTTTCTGGATGCCCAGCGAAGGAGGAGCAGGAAGACAGAAGAAGGGGAAGAGAAGGAAGAAGAAGGAGAAGAAAAAGAAAGAGGAGAAGGAGGAGAAAGAGGAGGAGAAAGGGGGAACAGTAGGAGAGAAGGAGAAGGGAAAGGGGAAGAAGAAGGAAAATGAGGAGGAGGAGGAGGAGAAAGAAGAATGATTGGGACTCTCATACTTGTAAAGATTTGAGGGATCTCAACCATGGTGAGGATGAGTTAAAAAAAATATTTGGGTGGCTGGGCGCAGTAGCTCATACCTGTAATCCCAGCATTTTGGGAGGCTGAAGTGGGCAGATCACCTGAGGTTGGGAGTTCGAGACCAGCCTGGCCAACACGGTGAAATCCTGTCTGTACTAAAAATAAAATATTAGCCAGATGTAGTGGTGCACACCTGTAATCCCAGCTACTCAAGAGACTGAGGCATGAGAATCATTTGAACCTGGGAGGCAGAGCTTGCAGTGAGCTGAGATCACACCACTGCACTCCAGCCTGGGCCACAGACTGAGACTATCTAAAAAAAAAAAAAAAAAAAAAGATTTGGGGAGTTCCTTGAAGCTCCAGGGGCTCCAGTACCCAAGGTGATTACATAGCTTTAATTACCAAAAAAGGAGGTGATTAAGGAGGAAGCTTACTGACTTTTCAGAGGAGAACAATACTCTTGCTCTCCAGAGAAAGTACTCAAGGCTGTGTTAGTCGATGTTTGGAACTATCATGAGACATATCTCCTTAGCTTGAGGTCTTCTGAAAGCCACATGGCTTAGCACTTCTCCCTCAGCTCTCCAGGAGAACTAAGTGCACCTTGCCTCCTAGATAGTGCTTTTGCTTCCCACTTTGTTTCCTGGGCCACAGGAGAATGTGCAAAACTAGATCCAGAGGGGAGGAGTTTGGGCATCTGCCTTCCCACGATATCTATGCCATTTCTACCTACTATCCAAGGTGTGGGTGTCAACGCGATCCTTGACTGCATTGATGGCTCCTGCTGGGAGAAGAATCTCCCCTGTTTAGCTGCAGATGGCCGATGGGTTCTGTATGGTGTCATGGGGGGAGCAGAAGTCAATGGACCCCTGCTTTCCAAGCTGTTGTGTAAGTGAGGAAGTCTGTGGGCCAGTCTGCTGAGGTCCAGGGATCAGAAGGTAGGTGACAGAGAGAGCTGAGCAGGTTCTGGGCACTGCTCTTGAGTTATGACTCTGACCTGCCCTGGCTTATAGAATTCCTGCTTATGAAGCTTTGCTGACATTGCCAGCTCTCCTTCCTCTGGGTGGGAACCTAAAGGTTAGCTTGACCCTTCCTCCCTCAGAAGTCTCATTTCCGCCACCTACTTCCTCATTTGACTTGGGCTGACTCCTCCTCTCTTCCAAGTCCAGGATGCATATTGAGACTCCCATGCTTTTGGAGATTTGGGGGGTGGCAGGGTCCCTTGATATTCCAGGGGTTCCAGTGTCCAAGGGAATTTAGACTGATAAATGACCTTTCCTCATCCATGGTTTCGTCTGATCTCTTTGAGTCAAGGCTAGTACCAGGGCCAACCAGGCATTTTCCCCTCAAAGATTTTCCCCTCAAAGATGTATGAGGCCAAGGAGACCTCATCCTTATCCTGTTAATGGGCTGTTCTCTCTGCCTCAGCATAAGGAAATGTTGGTAAAGACCTTCATGGAGCAAGTCCTGGCCCACTTCTCCCCTGGGAGTGCTGTGCAGCTGCAGCCTGTCATCGATAAAGTCTTTGCCATGGCTGAGATTCAGAAGGCCCACTCTCACATGGAGGTCAACCAGAATGTGGGGAGAATTATCCTGGAGATGCCCTGACTCAAACACGGTGTGGCCCATGAGTGACACCAGCCTGAGGAGAACTGTCAGGGACAGGGTCAGGGATGTGGGAGTGTGGGGAGGCCTGGAGCTGGGCTGAGTTGGGCCAGGGGGCGGGCTAGAGAGAACTGGGGCCAGGCTACCTCACAACAATGTTGAGAGAATTAAACTGAGATCACAGGGATAAGAGCACTGCGTGAGCTGTCAAATACATTGCAACGGGCAAGGTAGGAATCTTGTAGACTACAGGTAAGCTGCAGAGTGTTCATATATTATAAATATATTAAGACAGATTTTGGTGAGGGGAGGGGGCTGTTTTTTTTTTTCCAATGGCTATACCCTAGGTCTGTTTGGCTATTCCCATAGCCAAAATTCTCATATTTGGGGGAATAAACTACATCCAATCTTCCCGCAGATTCAGGATAGTCCTTTGATCTTCAGAAATGGTCTAGGGATTCAGGCCAGTTCTGAACACCAAAGGACTAGCCTGAATTAACACACAGCCCTGGCCCTAATCCCTCCTCTGAGTTCCAGATGCATATATCGAACTGATGACTTGACACTTAGACATCTCAAAGGTACTTCTACTTTGACATGTTCAAAATTTAACACATAATCATCACCTACTATCTTGCTCCTCTCCTAGGATTTCCTGTCTCCATAAATAGCAAACCACCAATCCAGGTGCAAAATCCAGAAACCTAGAAGTCATCCTTGATACCCCTTCTCTCTCTCATCTTCAGGTCCAATGGGTCACCAAGTAGCCAATTTTCTTTTCTAAAATCTCTTTTATCTTTTCCTTTCTCTCCATTTCACCATCTCTCGCAATCCAAGCTGCTATCCATCTTTTACCTGGGCTATTGCAATATTGCAATGGTTTTCTAATTTATTTTCTTTCTTTCTTTTTTTTTTTTTTTTTGAGACAGAGTCTCGCTCTGTCACCAGGCTGGAGTGCAGTGGCACAATCTCAGCTTACTGCAACCTCCGCCTCCTGGGTTCAAGTGATTCTCCTGCTTCAGCCTCCCAAGTAGCTGGGACTATAGGTGCACACCACCACGCCTGGCTAATTTTTGTATTTTTAGTAGAGACAGGGTTTCACCATGTTGGCCAGGATGGTCTTAATCTCTTGACCTCCTGATCCGCCCGCCTCGGCCTCCCAAAGTACTGGGATTACAGGTGTGAGCCACTGCACCCGGCCTCTAATTTGTCTTCTTATACCCACTCTTTTCTCTTGTAATCCATATTCTATGCAGTAGTAAAAGTGATCTCTTCAAAATGCAAATTTAATCATGTCACAGCCTTGCTCAATATACTTCCGTAGCCTTCCACTCTTGGTAGAGCAGTAATAAGAACCTCACAGGCCAAGAAGTCTTTGTATAGACTGACCCATGCCTGTCTCTGCAGCCCCGTTTTCTACCACGGCTCTCCCTCCCGCCATAGGCCCTTCAAACATAATTTTTAATCTCAGATCTCTCTACCACAATCCAAATATCCATCAAGAGGGGACTTAGTTAATAAATTATGATACATTCACATAATAGAGTACTATGTAACTATATAAAGACATGGGAACTGCTGTAATCTCCAGAATATGTTGTTAAGTGAAAAAAGCGAGGTACGCAATAAGGAATATGATTTGCTACCTTTTATCTTAGAAAAGGGAATTTATGAACATAAGTGTGTATGTGTATACACACATACACACACACACACACATTTTCTTATATTTTCTCACAGGAGAATAAAAAACAAAGGTGTTTCAGCCAAGTTCAAGAATGGTGAAAACAAATTTCAAGGGAAAAAAAGGCCAGGTGTAGCTGCTCATGTCCATTATCCCAACATTTTGGGAAGCTGGGGCAGGAGTTCTAGACTAGGGCAACATAGGGAGATCCCATCTTTACAAAAAAAAAAAAAATCTAAAAATTAGCCAGGTGTGGTACCACACACCTGTAGTCCCAGCTATTTGGGAGGGTGAGGTGGGAGCAACATTTGAGCTCAGGAGGTAGAGGCAGTGAGCTGTGATCATACTCCAGCCTAGGCAACAGAGTGAGACTCTGTCTCAAAAAAAAAAAAAAAAAAAAAAAACCTAAGGGAAAGCAATGTTCACCTTCATGAGGAGGAGGAGACAGAATGGAAGGGATGGGTGTAGGAGCTAGACTCCTCTGAATTACTTTGTTTTGAAGATTTGATTTGGGTACCATATAAATGTTCTACATGAATATGAAACAAAATTTAAAATGTAAAAAAGGAATCCCTAAAATCAAAATTAAAGAAATATACTGAGGCTGAGCACGGTGGTTCATGCCTGTAATCCCAGCACTTTGGGAGGCCAAGGAGAGAGGATCACCTGAAGTCAGGGGTTCAGCTTGGCCAACATGTTGAAACCCCGTCTCTATAAAAATACAAAAAGTTAGCTGGGCATGGTAGCTGGCACCTGTAATCCCACCTATTGGGGAGGCTGAGGCAGGAGAATCACTTCAACTTGGGAGGTGGAAGTTGCAGTGAGCCGAGATCGCGCCATTGCACTCCAGCCTGGGCAACAAGAGCAAAACTCCATCTCAAAAAAAAAAAAAAAAGGAAATATACTGAATTGTATTTCTAATTAATAGATTAGCCACACAGAAAGGAATAATTTCAACTAATGTGAAATTAAGAACACAATAACTTGCTGGGTGCAGTGGCCCACACCTGTAATCCCAGAACTTTGGGAGGCTGAGGTGGGTGGATCATCTGAGGTCAGGAGTTTGAGACCAGCCTGGCCAACATGGCGAAACCCTGTCTCTACTAAAAATACAAAACTTCGCTGGGCGTGGTGGCAGGCACCTGTAACTCTAGCTACTCAGGAGGCTGAGGCAGGAGAATCCCTTGAACCTGGGAGGCAGAGGTTGCAGTGAGCTGAGATCATGCCATTGCACTCCAGCCTGGGCGACAGAGTGAGACTCTGTCTGAAAATAAATAAATTAATAAATAAATTAATTAATTGAATGAACTTGACTGTATGTTCTTATTTGGGATATAGCCTATGAACAAAAAGATACCAAGAAAATTTTAAACTTTCAATAATTGTTACTATAAATAAGTATACTGGCTATACTGGCAGGGCACAGTGGCTCATGCTTGTAATCCCAGCACTTTGGGAGGCTGAGGTGGGAAGATTGCTCAAGCTCAAGAGTTGGAGACTAACTTGGGCAACATAGCAAGACCTCATCTCTACAGAAAAAAAAAAAAAAAAAAAAAAAAAAAAGCCAGGTGTGGTGGCATGCACCTGTATTCCCAGCTAGTCAGGAGGCTGAGGCAGAAGAGTCAGTTGAGCCTAGGAGGTAAAGGCTGCAGTGAACTATGATTACACCACTGCACTCCAGCTTGGGTTGAGAACAAAACCCTATCTCAACATCAATAAAAATAAGTATACCTATATCATTAGAAGCCATGATTTTCAGGAGAAAAACCTCAAAGAAGTTGTTAGGCCAGGTGCAGTGGCTCACACCTGTAATCCCAACTCCTTGGGAGGCCAAGGCAGGCAAATCACTTGAGGTCAGAAGTTCGAGACCTGTCTGGCCAACATGGTGAAACCCTGTCTCTACTAAAAATACAAAAATTAGGCTGGGTGCAGTGGCTCATGCCTGTAATCCCAGCACTTTGGGAGGCTGAGGTGGGCAGATCACGAGGTCAGGAATTCGAGACCAGCCTGGCCAATATGGTGAAATGCCATCTTTACTAAAAATACAAGAATTAGCTGGGTATGGTGGCAGGCGCCTGTAATCCCAGCTACTCAGGAGGCTGAAGCAAGAGAATCGTTTGAACCCAGGAGGTGGAGGTTGCAGTAAGCTGAGATTGCACCACTGCACTACAGCATGGGCGACGGGTGAGACTCTTATCTCAAAAAAAAAGAAGAAAGAAAGAAAAAAAAAAAACATTAGCCGGGCGTAGTGGCGCAGGACTGTAATCCCAGCTACTTGGGAGGCTGAGGCATGAAAATCACTTAAACCCGGAAGACAGAGTTTGCAGTTAGCCAAGATCGTGCCACTGCTCTCTAGCCTGGGCAACAGAGTGAGACTCTGTCTCAAAACAGAAGAAAAAAACAAGAAGTTAAAGCCCTATAGCCCTCCATGTAAATTGAAATTATCATAATTCTTGATGCATTTTCTCTTAAAAAAAAAAAGATATTTTCTAGCTCTATCCATTGAGAAGGACTAGAAGCCTCTTGTTATTGTTTCTAGTTCTTCTCAATGGATAGAGCTAGAAAATATCTATCTCAGCAATGAGCACCCCTTGTATATAGACTGTAGTCTCTAAATACCATTTTCCAATCACAGGAACCCAGGCTCTGTTGAGAAATGATTGATGCCAGATTTGAGGCAGGAAATGCACAAGATGAGGCTGAAACATCTGTCTAACCAAAACGCAGGGCCCACTGGCCAAATACGAGACAATTTGAGCCTTAAAAAGAATAACTTGAATGGCTTGAAACACGTAAGTTATACTTAAGTCTATGAGCACATAACTGATTTTTTTAAAATTCATTGATCACCTTTGGAAGATGATTATTATTTTGAAGCTTGGCAAATAACATTTATCATGTCTTTTTTGTATGTTCAAGCTATATATCTCAGAATAACCAAATAATTGATGAAAGAATAGAAAGCTCTAATGAAATAATCTACACCCTTGCTTGTTAGAAATCCAAAATTTCTAACCATCACGTGAAGAAGCTTGAACTAGTCTGCCAGAGAATGAGACCAGGCAGAGAATCGCTTGAACCCAGGAGGTAGAGGTTGCAGTGAGCTGAGATCACACCACTGCACTCCAGCCTGGGAAACAGAACAAGACTGGGGGAGAAAAAAAAGAAAGAAAGAGAGAAAGAAAGAGAGAGAGAGACAGAAAGAAGGAAGGAAGGAAGGAAGGAAGGAAGGAAGGAAGGAAGGAAGGAAGGAAGGAAGGAAGGAGAGAGAGAGAGAAAGAAAGAAAGAAAGAAAGAAAGAAAGAAAGAAAGAAAGAAAGAAAGAAAGAAAGAAAGGAAGGAAAGAAAGAAGAAAGGAAGGGAGGGAGGGAGGGAAGAAAGACAGAAAGGCAAAATGTATTATTTTGTGGTGTTGAAGAGAGAAAAAAAATGCAAAATATCATGCTTCATTCCAGACCTACTGAATCAGAACATACACTTTAACAAGACCCCCGGTGATACATATTTTATTAGTCTGTTCTTGCATTGCTATAAAGAACTACCTGAGATTGGGTAATTTATAAATAAAAGAGGTTTAACTGACTCACAGTTTCATAGGCTGTACAGGAAGCATGGCTAGGGAGGCCTCAGGAAACCCACAATCATGCGGAAGGCAAAGGGGAAGCAGGCACGTCTTACATGGCTGGAGAAGGAGAAACAGAGAGAAGGGGGAAGTACTACACACTTTTATAAACAACCAGATCTCTTGAGAACTCACTATTACGAGAACAGTAATCCCCACAATCAAAACACCTCCCACTATGCTCCTCTTCCAACATTGGGCATTGTAATTCAACATGAGATTTGGGCAGGGACCCAGACCAAACCTATATTGCAAATGCACAATAAAGTTGGAGAGGCACCTATCTAGACAATGATTATCAATAGCTAATGAAACAATTAGGCAGAAAAGTTAATGGGGGAACTTCATACCGAAGTAAGCCAATTGACAATACCTGAACCCAATAATGTCTTTTTTTTTTTTTTTAGACAGAGTCCTGCTCTGTCACCCAGGCTGTAGTGCAGTGGCACGATCTCGGCTCACTGCAACCTCCGCCTCCTGGGTTCAAGCGATTCTCTGCCTGGTCTCATTCTCTGGCAGACTAGTTCAAGCTTCTTCATGTGATGGTCAGAAATTTCCCAGCAGCAAGAGAGGGCAAGCCCAACTTTTCATTGTTCCCTTGGTGGAAGCAAGTCATATTGTCAAGTCCAAAGTCAACGTGTTAGGGGACTAGAAAAGGGTGCAGGTGTGGTTACAGGGAGGAGTGATTCTTTGGGGCCATGAGTGTAGCAATCTACCTCAATTTTTGTCTTAATTTAAAATTATTACTTAATTTATTTTACATAGTTCCCCATATAAAGTGCTTAAAAGTTATATTCTTTCCCTTTATTCCTTTTTTATTTTGTTCCCTACCTCCTCTGACAGTATCCTCTCCAAAGTAAGCCAAAATTATCGAGTATATATACATACATATATAGTTATATATAATTACATAGAAAAAGAGTCTATATTTTTTCCATGCTCATATCACTCATGTAAGTGTGGCGGGGGGCAGGGTATGTATATGGTGTGTGTGTGTGTGTGTGTGTGTGTGTGTGTGTGTGTGTGCGTGCGCATAAAATCATGTATATGTGTATAGGGATGTTTTATTATTGTTTTACCACAATGTTACTCTGGTTAAACAAACGCTTCACAGAAATCCCTCGATGTCAACTGCTATAGCTCTAGTTCATTTTTCAAGTGGATGCATAGAGTTCACGATTTATCCAGCCATTCCGTTAGTGATGGGATCTACTTTGTTTCTAAATTTTTGTTACTATGATCAATGCTGCAATAAACATCTCTGTACATACATCTGTATAATTGGTGTGTTTTATTTCTACAGGACAAACTCCTTAGAAGTAAGTTTCAAACTGTCATTGTTACTATCACTATTAGTGATAGTAATGAACAAATAGTGATAGCAAAGAAAATAAATTTTTTTCCTTTTTTTTTTGAGATGGAGTCTTGCTCTGTCGTCTGTTGCCCAGGCTGGAGTGCAGTGGCGCAATCTCCACTCACTGCAAGCTCCGCCTCCCGGGTTCATGCCATTCTCCTGCCTCAGCCTCCCATGTAGCTGGGACTACAGGCGCCCGCCACTGCGCCTGGCTAATTTTTGTATTTTTAGTAGAGACGAGGTTTCACCGTGTTAGCCAGGATGGTCTCAATCTCCTGACCTCGTGATCCGCCTGCCTCGGGCTCCCAAAGTGCTGGGATTACAGGCATGAGCCACCGCACCCGGCCTTTTTTTTTTTTTTTTTTTTGAGACAGGGTCTTACTCTGTCACCTAGGCTGGAGTGCAGTGGCGCAATCTTGGCTCACTGCAACCTCCACCTCCCAGGCTCAAGCAAGTCTCCTGCCTCAGCCTCGCGAATAGTTGGGATTACAGGCACGTGCCACCACCGCCCAGCTAATTTTTGTATTTTTAGTAGAGACAGGGTTTCACCATGTTGGCCAGGCTGGTCTAGAACTTCTGACCTCAAATAATCCACACACCTTGCCCTCCCAAAGTGGTGAGATTACAACCATGAGCCATCATGCTCAGCCAATTCATTTTCTGACATCTGGTAATTTAAGTCTTCCCTACTATTCCTTTTTTTTTTTTTTTTTTTTTTTTTTTGAGACAGAGTCTTACTGTGTCTCACTCCCAGGCTGGAGTGAAGTGGCATGATCACTGCAAGCTCTGCCTCCCAGGCTCATGTGATCTTCCCATCTCCCAGCCTCCCAAGTAGCTAGAACTACAGGCACATGCTACCACGCCTGGCTAATTTTTTTGTAGGGATGGGGTTTTGCTATGTTGCCCAGGCTGGTCTTGAACTCCTGAGTTCGGGTGATCTGCCCACCTCGGCCTCCCAAAGTGCTGGGATTACAGATGTGAGCCACCACTCCCAACCCTACTATCCTTTTCATATATTTCTTGGCCATTTGGGGGAATTTGTTCTTCCACATACACTCTAACACCATTTTATCCAATCAAAAAATATACTGTTGGCATTAGAACCAAATTTATAATGAATTTGTATACTAATTTGGTAAAACTGACATTTTGGGTACTGTATTCTCATCTAAAAACATGGTACTGTTTCATTTGTTCAGATCTTGTTTCTGTTCTTTGATATAGTTTTACAGTCTTCATTATATAATTTTTGTATCTTCCTTGTTAAATACATTGCTTATCCTTTTACAGCTTGTACTGTAAAAGGGTTATTTTCCTCATTTTTATTAATATTTCTAGTTGCTTAGCTGAAGTAGAATAAAACCATTGATTCTGGTGTATGTAGCTTGCATCTGGACAGCCTTACAAACTATCTCATTATCTCAAACAAAAATGTTTGCTTCATTTTAAAAATTAGCATCTCTTGTGTTTTCTAAGTCTACAATCATAACAACAAAAGGAGACTGGTTTATCACTTTTCCAGCATTTTTATCTATTACCTCCTTTTTTGTCTTATTGTATTGACTAAAACTTCCAAAGTAATGTTAAATAATAATGTCAGCCTGGACAACATGGCATAACCTCATATCTACAAAACAAACAACAAACAAACAAACAAAAACTATCTGGGTGTGGTGGCTCAAGCCTGTAGTGCTAGTTACTGGGGAGGCTGAGGTGGGAGGTTCAATTGAACCCATACCAAGGCTGCAGTGAGCTATGATCACAACACTGCACTCCAGCATGGGCAATGGAATGAGACCTTGTCTTTTAAAAAAGTCTACTATACTTTCCTTTTATCCCTATTTTGCTTGGAAGTTTTATAATGAATGGCTTCTAGGTTTAATCAATGCCTTTTTGGCCTCTATTGATTGGCTCATATGGTGCTTTCTTCTTTAATTTGTTGATGTTTTGGGGTTGTATTGATAGACTTTCCAATACTGATTTTGTATAGTCATAGGGAATGTAAGTTGCTGAATTCCATTTGCTAATTTTTTTTTTTTTGAGGTGGGAGTCTGTCTCTGTCACCAAGGCTGGAGTGCAGTGGTGTAATCACAGCTCACTGCAACCTCCACTTCCCAGGTTCAAGCAATCCTCCTGCCTCAGCCTCCCAAGTACCTGGGACTACAGGTGTGTACCACCACGCCCGGCTAATTTTTGTATTTTTAGTAGAGATGGGTTTTCACCATGTTGGCCAGGCTGGTCTTGAACTCCTGACCTCAACTGATCCACCTGCCTTGGCCTCTCAAAGTGCTGGGATTACAGGGTTAAGCCACCGTGCCGGCCCCTGCTAATTTTTTTTTTTTTTTTTTTTTGAGATGGAGTCTCACTCTGTAACCCAGGTTGGAGTGCAGTGAGGCAATCTCGGCTCACTGCAAGCTCCACCTCCGGGGTTCACGCCATTCTCCTGCTGCAGCCTCCAGAGTAGCTGGGACTACAGGCTCCCGCCACCACGCCTGGCTACACCCGGCTAGTTTTTTGTACTTTTAGTAGAGATGGGGTTTCACCGTGTTAGCCAGGATGGTATCGATCTTCTGACCTCGTGATCCACCTGCCTTGGTCTCCCTAAATGCCAGAATTACAGGCATGAGCCACCATGCCTGGCCTTTTTTTTTTTTTTTTTTTTTGACGGAGTTTTGCTCTTGTTCCCCAGGGTGGAGTGCAATGGCACAATCTCGGCTCACCGCAACCTCTGCCTCAAGCGATTCTCCTGCCTCGGCATGCGCCACCACACCCGGCTAATTTTGTATCCTTGCTAATTTTTTAAAGCAATTTTTATCTTTATTAACAAGCCTTTGCTGCAAAAATAAACTACCCCCAAATCTTAACAGCTTACAACAGCAACAGCTTACAACAACAAATGTTTAGTTCTTCCTTGGTTGTGACTCTGCTAGGCTGGTCCCAAGACAATAGGTTGGATTCGGGGCTACCCTGAGTGTTTCTCACTCAGGGACAAGCTGAAATAGAGGCTATCGGTGGGTGGCAGGAGGGTAAGGGGACTGATGGAAACTGACCATGCCTTCCTCACTCATCACTGACCAAAGTAAGAGACAGGGCCAAACCCAACATCAACAGAATGAGAGGAAAATACTCCACCCATTGGGTAGAAAGGAGTAATCTTGCTGAAAAATCTTCCATTTTTTTCTAGACTTTACAACTTGTTGCTGCAGAGTTTCACGTAATTTAATTTATTCTTCTTTTAATCACTCCTACATCTGTGGTTATATCTCCTTTCTCATTCCCAGTCTCTCAGACTTTGGCTATCTCTTGTTCCCCAGCTCTAACTCACAATACATTTTCATTCACGTTACTGCTTTTTATAAAGAACAAGCTGGGACTACAGGCGCCCACCACCACACCCAGCTAATTTTTGCATTTTTAGTAGAGATGGGGTTTCATCATGTTGGCCAGGCTGGCCTTGGACTCCTGACCTCAAGTGATCCACCCCTCTCAGCCTCCCAAAGTGCTGGGATTACAGGTGTAAGCCACCGCAGCCAGTCCATTTCCCAACTTTCATAATTGGATACATTTCTACTAAATACAATTTTTCCCCGTATCTGGGAAACCACACTGTTTCTACGCTCTCACACAGAACACTTTGTTTCTGACACTAGATATGCAGGTTTTATCCCACATCAACCAATTCTCTGACACAGGCTGGGTGTTCCACAATTCAATTCTGACACTCTCTACCTGGAGTTAGTGTCAGATCTCACAGATTAAGGGCTCAGTCCCACAAGGTTGTCCCCATTAAAGATGCCAACTGCAAATCCAAGCCTCCTAAATCAGGGATTCTCATGTCTCCCTCCTTGGATTTGATAATTTGCTAGAATGGTTCACAAAACTCAGGGAAACATGTTTACTAGTTTATTATAAGGAATATTATAGGCTGGGCATGGCGGCTTACGCCTGTAATCCCAGCACTTTGGGAGGCCGAGGTGGGCAGATCACTTGAGGTCAGGAGTTCAAGACCAGTCTGGCCAACATGTCGAAACCCTGTCTCTACTAACAATGCAAAAATTAGTTGGGCTTGGTGGTGCACACCTGTAATCCTAGCTACTTGGGAGACTGAGGCAGGAGAATCACGTAAACCTGGGAGACAGAGGTTGCAGTGAGCCGAGATCACACCATCTCATTCCAGCCTGGGCGACAGAGCCAGACTCTGCCTCAGAAAAAGATATAGGAAAGTAGATAGATAGATACATAGATAGACAGACAGATTATAAAGTGATGAACAGCCGGGTGAAGAGGTATGCAGAATGAGGTCCAGAAGGATCCCAAGTGCAGCAGCCTCTGCCCCCAAGGCATTGGGGTACACCACACCACCTTCCCATGGTAGATGTGTTCACCAGCTGGGAAGCTCACCAAATTTCATTGTTCCAGAGTTTTTAGGGCCAGGCACGGTGGCTCACACCTCTAATCCCAGCACTTTTGGAGGCCGAGGCAGATGGATCTCCTGAGGTAAGGAGTTCGAGACCAGCCTTGCCAACATGAAGAAACCCCATCTCTACTAAAACCACAAAAATTGGCCGGACCTGGTGGCTCACGGCTGTAATCCCAGCACTTTGGAAGGCCAAGGCAAGCGGACTGCCTGAGCTCAGGAGCTCACGAACAGCGGGCTGTTGTAAAACCGTGGGCTGGTAAAACCCTGTCTCTACTAAAATACAAAAAATTAGCTGGGCGTGGCCGCATGCGCCTGTAGTCCCAGCTACTTGGGAGGCTGAGGCAGGAGAATTGCTTGAACCTGGGAGGCTGAGGTTGCAATGAGCCGAGATCACGCCATTGGACTCCAGGCTGGGTGACAGAGTGAGACTCTGTCTCAAAAAAAAAAAAAAACCCACAAAAATTACCCTGGTGTGGTGGCTCACACCTGTAGTCCCAGCTACTGGGGAGGTTGAGGCAGGAGATTCGCTTGAACCCAGGAGGTGGAGGTTGCAGTGAACTGAGATCAGGCCACTGCACTCCAGCCTGGGCAACAGAATGACTCAGTCTCAACAACAACAACAAAAAAGAGTTCTTATAGTACGTAACCTCCAGTCCCTGCTTCCCCTTCCCAGGGTCTTTCTGGTTACAAGCTCATCCTGAAGTTATCTAGGGCCCCCACCCTAAGTCACTTTATTAGCATAAACTTGAGTGTGCTCATAAGGGTTTGTTATTAATATAAAAAGTCACTTCTATCACATACAAAATTCCAAGGGTTTTAGGAGCTCTGGGCAAGAACAAAATATTATGATAAACGACGCTTATTGGCCAGGCAGAGTGGCTCATGCCTACAATTCCAGTTCTTTAGGCTGAGGTGGGAGAATTGCTTGAGTCCAGGAGTTCATGACCAGCCTGGTCAACGTAGCAAGACCCTATATCTAGTTAAAAACAAAATAAAATTAAAAAAGAAAGAAAGAGATGTTTATCCAGAAAATAACAGAGGTTTTAGGAGTGCTATTGCAGGACCCCAGGACAAAGACCAAAAATATGTTTTGTTTTTTTTTGAGACAGAGTCTGGCTCTGTGGCCCAGACTGGAGTGCAGTGGCGTGATCTTGGCTCACTGCAAGCTCCGCCTCCTGGGTTCACGCCATTCTCCTGCCTCAGCCTCCTGAGCAGCTGGGACTACCGGCACCCGCCGCACCCGGCTAATTTTTTGTATTTTTTGGTAGAGATGGGGTTTCATTGTGTTAGCCAGGATGGTCTCGATCTCCTGACCTCGTGATCCACCCGCCTCGGCCTCCCAAAGTGCTGGGATTACAGGCATGAGCCACCGCGCCCGGCCAAATATATGTTTCTTATTACACACTGCAAGATTACATCGACCAAGGGCTCACCAAGATAAAATCTTAGGTACTTTCAACTCCTAGTTTTACTGGGAGACTTTAGTATACTTAGTGGTTGGTATTATTATAATTTTTTTTAAAGTAATTCCTTGCATTTTAAAAGTTCTTATTTAACACTTACATTACACATTCCCCATCTATCTTAATCCATTCCATTTTCTTAATCCAATCAGTTTTAGTGTAGATTTTTGCAAAGTTCATTATTTACGACTATTTCCTTTCCATCTGCCTCTGTTCTAGGACATTTATTATTTGGTTCAAACCTTTCCTCACTTTTGGACAGATGCATATCCAGATGATGCGTCTCTGAATCCTTATACATCCTCAAACATGCTTTTTGCCCTAACGAGTGAATTATATCTTAATGGGGTATATTGAGTTACAGTCCTTTTCTTCTAGTCAATAGAGGCTAGTCTACTCTCTTCTAGTTTCCAGATTGCAGATAGCAACTTGCTGGGCACAGTGGCTCATATGTGTAATCCTAGCACTTTGGGAGGCTGAGGCCAGAGGATTGCTTGAGCATAAGAGTTTGAGACCAGCCTGAGCAACATAGTGAGACCCCTACACTACAAAAAAGAGAGAGAGAGAAAGGTGGGGGGAAGGAAGGAAGGAAGGGAGGGAGGGAGGAAGCCTTTTTTATTTTTTAACCAATTGTGGGTAACTTATTCTTTCCACACTTGTTAGAACCTGAAATTTTATAAAATATAGGCATGCATTTTTGTTCTCATGAATCCATCCTTTAGTGAATGTTTTCAATCTGAATAATCTGGTAGAATTTAGGAAAACTGTATTCTTTTATTTGTTTAACTATTGAATCTTCTTCATCCATTCCTCTTCCTCCTTCTAAAATTCCTGTTATTCTTATAGCAAGGTCTCCTGAATTTTTCCTTAAGTCCCATCATTTTATTATTTCCATCTCTATAGGCTTTTGCTCTGTTGTGTTAAATAAATAATTATTCAATGATCCTTGTTAAAGCGCATTGAGGAAGACTTTATTTAGCACCATCACTGCAACAACCCATTGCAGTGGAGGAGACAGGTCGGGATCAACTCTGAATGCATCATGGACAAGTGGGAATGTATAGCCAAGGGGCAGTGTTGGGGGTCAGTGGATGGAAAAGAAGAGCAATCAGGGGTAAGGGGGATTCTATCTAAACTGACTTAACAGGATTCTTACTGAAGACAGGCCAGGGTGGTCGGATATCACTTGGGGGATGGTGGAGGATGAGGAACTTGATCAGATATTGAGGGTGATCAGATGTCAAGGATGGGAGGTTCTTACTAAAACAGGAATTTACAAGGAGTGCTATGGATATGTAGTGGGGAGGAGGCCAGGGATGCTGTTAAACATCCTACAATGCACAGGACAATCTCGTACAACAACGAACTAGCTAGTCCAAAATGTCAACAGTACTGAGGTTGAGAAATCGTTATGTAGCTTACGGATATAGCTTTTACCAGGTCAAAATCACCAGTATCCTTCTCCTGGGGCTGAACCTCTCCCCCGGGACTGTCAGGAGGAGGGGGCGTGATAAGGATCCCAGGACTGCGTTTTGCCTTCCTTCCCCACCCCCACTCTCAACGGCTCCTTTCTCTTCTCTTAGCAGCACCCAGCTTGCCCACCCATACTCAAGATGGGCAGGATGCCAGCCTGCTACATAAATGTGCCAAAAGCCTGGCCTTGCCTGGAAAATGGACCGATTCGCCTGCCGAGAGGTTGGGTCTCGTTCTCTAGAGAGAAGGAAGTCTCCTCTCCTTGCAGTGAGAGCTAGAATCGCACTTTCTGCCAAGCTGAGAGAAAGACTCTTTTCCAGAGACTAAAAGGACAAGAAAATCTGATTTGCTTGCTTCTAACTTTGCATTTTAAAGGGGGGAGGAGGAAAGAGAGGGAGGGTGGTTCTGCTTAGCCCCACCCCTCCGGCTGCCCCAAGTCCCGCCGTCCATTCCGGTGGAGGCAGAGGCAGTCCCGGGACTCGGGGGCTCGTGCTGTGCCACCGGGACCCGCAGGAGCCAGAACCGCTCGGCGCCGCCTGGTGCAGGGGAGGGGAGCCGGGCCAGGAGTAAGTACCTCATACGGGCACCGGGGACCCGGGTAGGGCTGGGGGATTCCAACTCAGAGGGAGTGTGATTTGCCTGATCCTCTTCGGGGTTGTCCTGCTCTGCCGCATCCAGCCCTGTACCGCCATCCCACTTCCCGCTGTTCCCATCTGTGTTCTGGGTGGGATCGGTCTGGAGGCGGTCGACGACTTCCCAGGCAGGAGCTCGGGGCAGAGGCCGGGTCCGCGGGAGACCAGGGCAGCGAGGCGCTGGCTGGCAGGGGACGCCGCGGTGCCAGCCTGAGGCTGGGCTGCTCCGCGAGGATGCAGCGGCCCCTGCCCTGCTCTGCCCTGTCCTGTTCTGCCCTGTGTCCTCAGAGAACATGTTAGCCGTGCACTTTGACAAGCCGGGAGGACCGGAAAACCTCTACGTGAAGGAGGTGGCCAAGCCAAGCCCTGGGGAGGGTGAAGTCCTCCTGAAGGTGGCGGCCAGCGCCCTGAACCGGGCGGACTTAATCCAGGTACCCAGGGCTCAACTGTGCCGGGTTGGGCGGGACTGCCTCTCAACAGCATTCTGTGGACATTGATGAGACGTGAAGGCGTGCACCGCCCCACACCCAGCAGGCACATGCGCTGGGGCTTCCCAGACCTAAACCCAGGGCTCCCCTTTTGTTCATACAAAACAAGGGGTAGTATTTGCAAAGCAGAATCCACCCCGAGCTAATCCGTAGCCACTCAGGCCTCCAGATAAGGAGGGCAGAACTAACATTGTTGTGGGGTGTGGGCGCACTTACTCCCCAGGTTACCCTGTTCATCCTCTTCCTTCTACAGATAAGGAAACTGAAGGTCGGCCAGGTTAAGCAGTATGCCTAAGGCCATGACATTAGCAAGCAGAAGAGCTGGGATTCAAGCTGAGGTCTTTGTGGCTCTAAGGACCTCTTAACTCTTTCCACTCTGAGAGTCCCAGAGCTGACAGCTGGCAGTACTCTATAAGACTTTTCTTCTGTCTGCTACTGATTTACTGACCTGGGCCCGCTGCATTGGTTGTGGTCATTCAGAAATGTGCATCAGAATCCCCTGGGGCACAAAAGAAACGTGATGGGGGCCCAGGCACATGTACTTTGAAATACTCCTCAGGTGGTTCTGCCACACACTCCTGGTTAAGTCCCTCTGCTCTACAGCTTCTGAGGACTGGGGTGAGTGAGCACAGAGCCTAGCACTTGATGCGTGGGAACCATCATCAAGGTTCCTAATCCCACGACTATTTTTTCCCCTGTCTGGGACTCAGTTTCTCCATCTGTAAAGCAAGGGGTTCAGATGAGGTAAATAGCTAAGGACTCTACCAGTTATAACATCCACTGATCATGTGACCTCCAGTTTATTTGCATAAAACTAATGGCCTCTCCTTTCTCTTCTCCTGCCTTACAAAAACCTGACTTCATCCTGAAATTTATTTCTGAAAAAAAAAGAGAGGGCCGGGCGCGGTGGCTCAAGCCTGTAATCCCAGCACTTTCGGAGGCCGAGACGGGTGGATCACGAGGTCAGGAGATCGAGACCATCCTGGCTAACATGGTGAAACCCCGTCTCTACTAAAAAATACAAAAAACTAGCTGGCTGTGGTGGCGGCGCCTGTAGTTCCAGCTACGGGGAGGCTGAGGCAGGAGAATGGCAGGAACCCGGGAGGCGGAGCTTGCAGTGAGCCGAGATTGCCCCACTGCACTCCAGCCTGGGCAACAGACTGAGACTCCGTCTCAAAAAAAAAAAAAAAAAAAGAGGGGATATTGCAAGAGGGGCCAGGGGTGGTGACACACAGATTTCTGATCATGCTCACCACTTAGTGCACTTCTTTTTCTGCAGAGAGAAGGCCAGTATGACCCACCTCCAGGAGCCAGCAACATTTTGGGACTTGAAGCATCTGGACACGTGGCAGAGCTGGGGCCTGGCTGCCACGGACACTGGAAGATCGGGGACGCAGCCATGGCTCTGCTCCCCGGTGGGGGCCAGGCTCAGTATGTCACTGTCCCCGAAAGCCTCCTCATGCCTATCCCAGAGGGATTGACCCTGCTCCAGGCTGCGGCCATCCCGGAGGCCTGGCTCACCGCATTCCAGCTGTTACATCTTGTGGGTGAGGAGGCCTCCATGCTCACTCCACACAATGTGGCTCAACACCTTCATAAATCAGCCACCTTGAATCCCAGCAATCCTCCAGGGCACTCCCAGGCCCTGCTGTACCACCTGTACTGTCAGGTCCTCAGACCATGTTAGAAGGGTTTAATGTTGAGGCTGAGAATCATGGTTAGCAGATAGAAGGTCTGGATAACACTAGATAGGAGACCTCTGTACATCTTAACCCCAGAGGCTCAGCAGCAGTCCCAGCTTCTCAAAATCATGCTGAGCTTCTCCCTGGTGTCCCAGTGCAACAGAAGGGGCCAGTTGACTCATTTATTCCTCCTCAATCCCATTAAGGACAGTCAAGAACTCACATAAGGGAATCTAAGAAGACTTGGTCCTTGCCTTTAGACAGTGCAGTGTGACTGAGAAGGCAACATATGCATAAGATCAGATGACCATAGAGTTTAGAAGGATAGCCCTGTCTCTAACTACAATAGAAACTGGAGATGGGAAAAGATGGTGTGGACAAGGGTAGTCAGAAGGCTTTTTGGAAGAGAAAGCTTTGAAGGGTGGGTAGACTTGTGAAGGACATAGGCATGCCAAGGTGGCCTAAGAAAGAGTATCGGCCAGGCAAGGTGGCTCACATCTATAATAGTAGCAGTTTGGAAGACAGCTCACTTGAGCCCAGGAGTTTGAGACCAGCCTGGGCAACATGGCAAAACCCTGTTTCTACACAAAACACAAAAATTAACCAGGCATGATGGTGCACGCCTGTTGTCTCAGTTACTCAGGAGGCTGAGTTGGGAGGATCACCTGCGCCCAGGAAGGTCAAGGCTGCAGTGAGCCATGATCATGCCACTGTACTCCAGCCTGGGCAGTAGAGTGAGACTCTGTCTCAAAGAAAAAGTAAGAGTGGGCCGGGCCTCAGCTTACCTTGGAAGGCCAAGGCAGGCGGATCACGAGGTGAGGAAATCGAGACCATCCTGGCTAACACAGTGAAACCTCGTCTCTACTAAAAATACAAAAAATTAGCCGGGCGTGGTGGCGGGTGCCTATAGTCCCAGCTACTCAGGAGGCTGAGGCAGGAGAATGGCGTGAACCCGGGTGGGTGGAGCTTGCAGTGAGCTGAGATCACGACGCTGTACTCCAGCCTGGGTGACAAAGCGAGACTCTGTCTCAAAAAAAAAAGGAAAGAGTATCAAGGTGAGACCAGCCACTGCACTCAGTAGTGAAGGATGACTATTGTGATTTGTGAAAAATGAGGCTGGGGCTAGATCATGGTGTCCTTGAATATCAAGCTGTCTGGACTCAACGCAAAAGCCAATGGAGAAGCACTTTACATTTTGAGGAGGAATAACGTAATAAAAGTGCCATCTTAGGAAGAAGAGCCTGGTGGTTATCTGTTACCTGGATCAGGAAGACCAGCTGGAGGCATTTCAGGCTCTACAAGGACTGGCTTTGGGTGGTGGGTGACCATGGGAATGGTAGTTGTTCTTACTTATTCAGGTGTAGGTCAGAGATGTGCATTTTGGTGTTATATCATAGATAAAATAGAGATTATGGATGTGACTGCTTATAGCCCTGTTTCAAAAGGCTGTTTTCCACTTTAGCCAGAGGAAATAAGACAAAAAAGGACTGTCAGTATGCTTTTTCTTTCTCCAAAGAACAAGACAGTTTGTATTTGAGTCACAGTGTCCCACCCCCACCCCACCAAATAAAAAAGGAAAAGCAAAAGATCGATTTGGCATTTGGTGCAACGGCCAGGTGATCTTGATAAAATATGTCTGTGTGGGGAATATGTAGTAGTTGCAAAGTAAAGAGAACCCTGTACTTTCTGTCACAGGAAACGTTCAGGCTGGAGACTATGTGCTAATCCATGCAGGACTGAGTGGTGTGGGCACAGCTGCTATCCAACTCACCCGGATGGCTGGAGCTATTCCTCTGGTCACAGCTGGCTCCCAGCAGAAGCTTCAAATGGCAGAAAAGCTTGGAGCAGCTGCTGGATTCAATTACAAAGAAGAGGATTTCTCTGAAGCAACACTGAAATTCACCAAAGGTAAACAACTGTTTCTACAGTTCAGCAGGAATTTAAGAGATGATTAAATAAAATCCCCACCAGTCTCAAAGTTGCCAATGCCGTCTATCAGTCTTACCTCTACTAAGTGCTCAACAGCTGCCCTGGCCAAATTCTAGTACTATGGTATTTGACCACTGGAGACAGGCAGTCATATTTATATCTAAGATGGTTTCCATGTGCATTCTTGCAAGAGATAAGATTCATCCACACTTTAGACCACGCAGACTTGGTCTAGAATTATCCAGCACCTTTTCTTCCCAACCAGCCATTCTACACTTAGTTAATAGGAGGCTTGGAGGCAGAGACAAGTTTGGAGCCGGGCATGGTAGGGTTGGGTGATAGCACCCTAAATGAGTGAGTAGATGTGCACACTGCTGTATTCCAAAGCCAGATGTGTCTATTTTTGGCTCATCCCTTTCCATTTTTCTTTTCTTTTTTTTTTTTTGAAATGGAGTCTCGCTCTGTCACTGAGGATGGAGTGCAGTGGCTTGATCTCGGCTCACTGCAACCTCTGCCTCCCAGGTTCAAGCAATTCTTCAGCCTTAGCCTCCTGAGTAGCTGGGATCATGGGTGCACCACCACACCCAGCTAATTTTTGTATTTTTAGTAGAGATGGGGTTTCACTATGTTGGCCAGTCTGGTCTTGAACTCCTTACCTCAGGTGATCTGCCTGCCTCAGCCTCCCAAAGTAATGGGATTACAGGCATGAGCCACCGCGCCTGGCCTCCATTTTTCATGTGAGTAGGAAAGGAGGGCTGGGCACTGTGGCTCATGCCTGTAATCCCAGCACTTTGGGAGGCCGAGGCGGGTGGATCACGAGGTCAGGAGATCGAGACCATCCTGGCTAACATGGTGAAAACCCCGTCTCTACTAAAAATACAAAAAATTAGCCGGGCGAGGTGGCAGGCGCCTGTAGTCCCAGCTACTCGGGAGGCTGAGGCAGAAGAATGGCGTGAACCCGGGAGGCAGAGCTTGCAGTGGGCTGAGATCGCGCCACTGCACTCCAGCCTGAGCGACAGAGCAAGACTCTGTGAAAAAAAAAAAGGAAGAAAGAAAGAAGGAAGGAAGGGAGGGAGGAAGGGAGGGAGGGAGGGAGGGAGGAAGGAAGGAAGAAAGGAAGGAAGGAAAGGAGAGATGAAACTAAAGTTAGAAAGCCTATAATTCCAATAACCCAGTGCGGATACTTCCTAACTTCTATGTGAACAACTAGCCTAGGTTGGGCCTCCTGTATTCTGTTTTAAATCATGTCTGGGTGTCAGTGGGACTGTACTTATTATGGCATGAGAGGAGACTCTAGGCCATGGTGCCCCATTTCCCTCTTGCTATAGCTAGGCATCATAAAGGGTGATCTTCACACATGCTATGATAGAGTTCCGCTATCTAAACTCCATTTACAACAGTTCTTCAAGCAGTGTTTCTAATTCCAACCTATAGATTTACCACTTGCATCTGTATTTATGTCTATAATCCACAAATATACCATGGTATCTTATTTTGTACCAAGCTTTCTATATCTGACTAGCATCACAAATCTGTTTCCTATGGAAGGTGCTGGAGTTAATCTTATTCTAGACTGCATAGGCGGATCCTACTGGGAGAAGAACGTCAACTGCCTGGCTCTTGATGGTCGCTGGGTTCTCTATGGTCTGATGGGAGGAGCTGACATCAATGGGCCCCTGCTTTCAAAGCTACTTCATAAGCGAGGAAGTCTGATCACCAGTTTGCTGAGATCTAGGGACAATAAGGTGAGTACATGAATGAAAAGAAAACATGTGATTTAACCCAGAAAAGTGTGGTTCATTTACATTACCCCGAGAAAGGAAGCTCTACCTTAGGTTAGGAAGGTTAGTTTCTATGAAGAAATCTCCCCCTCTGAAGATAAATAGGGAACCCGATTTCAGAGAACTGATTCAGATTGGTCGATAGAAGCTTCAGTATCATGAAAAGAAGTGTAGTTGGTGCTTCATGCGCTATCTGAACATTCTAATAGAATGAACAAAGCACTGACCATATTAGGAAGTATTTCGAGTAGTTCCAAGACTTTGTTTTCAAAGGCAGAATTCATCTCAGTGTGTTAAGAAAGACTCTTAAGTGAGTAAAAAATAAGTAAGCCTTGGCCTTCAACAGATTATAGGTTCCATGCCGGGCACAGTGGCACTTGCCTGTAGTCCCAGGTACTTGGAAGGCTGAGGTGGAGGATTGCTTGAGTCCAGGAGTTTCAAGGCTGCAGTGAGCTATGATTGCACCTGTGCATAGACACTGTACCCCAGCGTGGGCAACATAGCAAAAACACATCTCAAAAAAAAAAAAAAAAAGATTATATGCTCCTGAAATATTCCATCTGGCAGTCTAGCAGGTACCAGCTTTGGGAATGTTTCCACCATAGGGTTTTGCACCAGCTGAGGGGACAGGAGAACTTAAGCATCCTTTTTGCACTGAGCCTATATGAGTCCTATCTGTGGCTGCCTCCTGGGTGAAGACCGTTTATTTAAAAACAATTCTTGGCCAGGCGCGGTGGCTCATGCCTGTAATCCCAGCACTTTGGGAGGCTGAGGCGGGCGGATCACGAGGTCAGGAGATCGAGACCATCCTGACTTAACACGGTGAAACCCCGTCTCTACTAAAAATACAAAAAAATTAGCCGGGCGTGGTGGCGGGCGTCTGTAGTCCCAGCTACTCGGGAGGCTGAGGCAGGAGAATGGCGTGAACCCGGGAGGCGGAGCTTGCAGTGAGCCGAGAGCCGAGATCGCACCACTGCTCTCCAGCCTGGGCCGCAGAGCGAGACTCCGTCTCAAAAAAAGAAAGAAAAAAAAAAACAAAAACAAACAAACAAACAAAAAAACAATTCTTAGGCTGTCAGTGATACTAACATTTTACTTCAGGCTTCAGTCTTTATCTGGTACAGAACAGAAGTTACACATTTGGAGGTACAGGGGAGCCAGAGATCACCTGTAACCCCCCTTTACCTCCTATGTGGTCTCTTCGGCTGGATCTAGAAACCAAATTGATAACAGCAGATTGACAGGAGAAAAGCATGTCTTTTTTTTTTTTTTTTTTTTTTTTTAATGGAGACAGGGTCTTACTCTGTCACCCAGGCTGAAGTCCAGTGGCACAATCAGCCTCCTAGGTAGCCAAGACAAAGGCATACCACCATGCCTGGCTTGTATTTTTTATAGAGACGGTTTCACCATGTTGCCCAGGCTGATCTCAAACTCCCAGGCTCAAGTGATCTGGCCAAAGTAAGATGCTTTTGTAATTTTTAGACAAAGAACAATAAATTTGAGAAGAAATAAGGCAAAATCGGGCTAGGGATAGTAAATTTCTAGGGAAGTCACTAGGAGATATATGGGGGTGGGGGGCGTAAAACTAGTGGAAGATAAGGGTTACTTCCTTAAGTTTATTTATTCAGTTCCACTGTAGCCCTGTTTCCAGTCTCCGGTGATAAAGGCTATTTTCTTGCCCTAGTATGGGGAGGGTGCCCCTCCCACAGGAATCTTTATGACTTGCTACATGCAAGAAGAGACAGGTCAGCTATCCTTTTCTGAAACTACAATTTCTCCAATGTTTTCACCTCAAAATAAACAATATACCTATCAGACATATTCTGAGATGGCACATCACTCCTTCAGGGGTATTGCACACACATGCTAGAAAGTGAGGGGTTAAGTGTCCCCGTGTCCTTTTTCAGATATGTGGTTTCAGAGAGAGCAAGAAGGCTGAGGAGGATGAGGAGGGCGGGGTGAGGCTCTCTCCCCAGGCTGATGCTCTCCTTTCCCTTGTCTTAGTACAAGCAAATGCTAGTGAATGCTTTCACGGAGCAAATTCTGCCTCACTTCTCCACGGAGGGCCCCCAACGTCTACTGCCGGTTCTGGACAGAATCTACCCAGTGACCGAAATCCAGGAGGCCCATAAGTACATGGAGACCAACAAAAACCTAGGCAAGATCGTCCTGGAACTGCCCCAGTGAAGGAGGAGTGGGCAAGACAGGACGCGGCCACCTCAGGCCTTTCTAGAGCAAACCTGGAGAAGATTCACAATAAACAGGCAAGAAACCCGGTGCTTCCTCCAGAGCCGTTTAAAGTTGGTCTAAGGAAATAAAGAGTGGACTGGAAGGGTGGCACGCGGACTGCGGCCGCCGCGGCGGGGTTGGGGAGGGAGTCCGGCGGGCGTCGCAGCGGGGATTTCAGAGGCCCGATCAGCTGAGGCTCCACCTGAGCGCCCCTCCAAGGTCGGAGGTTCTGGGTATAGTTACAGCGTCAGCCGTGACACAAGCCGCCAGAACCCCGCAGACTCCGCCTTGAGCACGGCTAGAGGCTCAGGCCCACCATCGCGTCTCCCGCACCTGCCCGCGCGCCCCGCACGGGCACCACAGCAGGCCCTGGCCCTACCGGCTACTCACCTGGGCCCCACCCCACCTCTCGCCGCCCTCCTCAGCCCCCACCACCTCCCGCTACACATCTGGGCTCCGCTGCACCTCCACCACCCTCCTCAGGCCCCGACCACTTCCCCTACTCACCTGGGCCGCACCCCACCTCTCACCGCCCTCCTCAGGCCCCGCCCCCTCCCGCTACTCACTTGGGTCCCGCCCCAGCTCATCTCGCTCCTCAGGCCCCGCTTCCTCCCCGATACTCACTTGGGCCCAGCTCCAGCTCTCAGCACCCTCCTCAGGCCCCGCCCCCTCCCGCTACTCACTTGGGCCCCTCCCTATTTGTCATAACCCTCCTCAACCCCCGCCTCCTTCGCTCCCCAATTACTCACCTGGGCCCCGCCCCAGCTCACCGCCCTCCTCAGGCCCCGCCCCCTCCGCCCGGCTCCCTTTGGTCGGGGAGGGCCTCCCCTACCGGAACATCCCGCCTTTTGGAGGCTACGCCCCGCCCTTTACGCTACAGAGCCCGGAAGTGTCTTGAACTCGCGTTTCCATCTTCCGGCCTCGCGTCTCTCTCAGGCTCGGTTTTACCCGGGAGTGTATTGGAAGGGGGCTGCTACGTCAGCGCGTCTCGGCGTGAGACAGCGCTATTCCGCTGTAACAGCTTCCGGCGGGTCCTGGATGTTGATGTCCTGCGTCTAACGCGGTGTAACGCCTGAAACCGAGCGAGCTCCGGAGGGGTCCGGAGGAATTTCAGTATCTGCTACGGTAACCTTATCAGCCCGCCAAGATGGCGATGCAAGCGGCCAAGAGGGCGAACGTGAGTACCGGGTGTTCTGCAGAGGTTGGGAGAACTTCGGGTTTGCCTTTATTAGCCCGTGGATCGGAGCATTCTTGCCCCTCCTCCGTCCCCAGAGCGGAGAACTCCAGAATTCCTATCCTGTCAGCGAAGACACTATCCTGGCCCCATCCTCGGAGATATGCTCCTTGAGCGACATTTCTGCCCCCACCCCTTTTGAGAGTTCCTCAGTCTCTAACCTAGTGTCAGTCATAGTAGCCTCTTTGCTTGACCTGCACCTAAGGACCTGGCGTTAGGATTATCTCCTTGGCTTAAACTCGATAGCGCGGAAGAGTTCTCAACTAACTTAATGGTTCACCAACAATTGGGGCCTGGGATTCCCCTCAGATCATGGAGCTTTTCGGATCCTTCATTAATATATTAATTAAAACAATATTTTTTGAGCACCTACTATGTATTCTGCTTGCCATGTGGGACATAATTCATCAGTTATATTTATTGAACAGCTACTATGTGGCAGACACTAGTCTTACGTATTGGGAAGACAGCCGTGAATAAAACAAGTCCTTCTGCTTACATTCTAGTGTTTGAAAGTGCAGTGTTATGGAAACTTTAAAAAAAAAACTCAAAAGAGAGATTAGTCAACTGTAAAACGCTTAGAGGTATAAGATGAAGGTAGGCCATGCGAGGTGGCTCATGCCTGTAATCCCTGCACTTTGGGAGGCTGAGGTGGGAGGATTGCTTGAGCCCAGGAATTCAAGGCTGCCTTGAGCCATGATTGTACGACTGCACAGCACTTCAGCCAAGAGACAGAACAAGACCCTGACTCAAAAAAAAAAATTTAAAAAAAAGAAAAAAGAAAAGACAGACAATTGACCATTGGATATGTAAATGGAGACTTTTGGTGACCTTGATGATAGGAATCATTTCAGTGGATGAAAGCTTGATTGCAGTGGGGTGAAAAGATGGTGAAAGTTGAGAAAATGGAAACAGCAAAGACACTGTCTGTGAGTTCTCATGTAAATAGGAAGTAGGGAAATTGGATGATAGTTGACTTTTTTTTTGAGAGAGAGACTCTCACTCTGTCGCCCAGTCTGGAGTGCAGTGGTGCAGTCTTGGCTCACTGCAACCTCTGTCTCCTGAGTTCAAGCAATTCTCCTGCCTCAGCCTCCTGAGTAACTGGGATTACAGGTACCCACTGCCACACCCGGCTAATTTTTGTATTTTTAGTAGAGACAGGATTTCTCCATGTTGGACGGGCTGGTCTCGAACTCCTGACCTCAAGTGATCCACCTGCCTTGGCCTCCCAAAATGCTGGGATTACAGGCATGAGCCACCGCACCCAGCCAGATAGTTGACTTTTTAAAAGATGTGTGATATAGGCGTGTTTTTATGCCAATGGGAGCAATCCAGCACGGTGTAAGAAACATGATATGGAAGAAAGATAGGTTAAGTCCAGAAGTGGAGGTTTTTAGTAGATGAAGGTTGGCGTAGTAATAGAGGAAAAGTAGTTGGATATAGATGAAAAGTATTTACCAGTTGGTCATGTCTATTTTCTCCAGGAAGCAAGAATCAGGGTCATCTCCTGGGATGGGCAGGGAAGAGGCTACAGCCCAACTCAGGTGTTAGCAGGAGTGATGGTGGTAAGGTTTGCGAAGGCCTACAGGTACCTACCACCGTGCCTGGCTAATTTTTAAAATTTTATGGGGGTCTCACTATGTTGTCCAGGCTGGTCTCAAACTCCTGGGCTCAAGTGATCCTCCCACTTTGGCCTCCCAAAGTGCTGGGATTATAGGCATGAGCCACTGCACCCAGCCTCTTGTTGCTTTTTCAAAGATCTTCCCATTTTCAGAAACATCAAATTATACCTCTTATTCTTGGCTTATTATTATGTATCATTAAGAATTTTTTTAAATGGTAGCACTTCTGCCCCTAATTATAATAACAATACATATTTCTCATTTTAGATTCGACTTCCACCTGAAGTAAATCGGATATTGTATATAAGAAATTTGCCATACAAAATCACAGCTGAAGAAATGTATGATATATTTGGGAAATACGGACCTATTCGTCAAATCAGAGTGTGAGTCTTACTGAGTCATTTAAAGAAAATGATAGCATAATCTGTAATCAGAATTTTAGCTGACGATGAGGCCACCCTGTGTTGTGTGCGATGCAGCAACCCTTACCAAGAGCCTAGAGACTAACAGATTGAGATCAAAGAGATGAGATCTTTTTGAAGGAGGGAAAAAACCTACTGAGACCCTAATGATCCAGCTCAGTGAGAGCCAAGAAGAGGATTTGAGTTTCCTCAAAGCATTCGTTGAAGTAGTAATGAATGCTTTGAGGAAACTGGTTGAGAAGGGAAAGAACTAACATTTATTGCCTACCCATTATTTGTAAAGCTAGCTGTTACACTGTGTTTTTTGTATGCAGTAGCTCTGTAATTTTCTCAACAATCATCACTGTCTCTTTAAATAACTTCAGAATTTCTGAATAAGTAAAAAAGTATAAAAGTAACAGAAAAAAATGATATTTTCAACTACAGCTCTTTCAATTGAAGATTTGAAAGTATAGAGGAAAACATCTAATTACAAGCATTCATGTTTTAATATAAAGATTGGGGCTCATACCTTCAAGTGACATTTACTGGACATCTACTGAATACCATTAACCATAATAAGTGCTTTTATTTGGATCAACAAAACTATAGCCCTGAGAGTAAAGTACCTTTCTAGTCTTACAGTGCTTAGTGATAAATTCGTCTGACTCTAAATTGAACCTCTGCATAACACAGTACCATATATAGCCCCTGATACCCTAACTCATATGAAAAGGCTAGTGACTTAAGAGTCCATCTGAAAGGATTTCTAAAGCTTTTATTTTTAAAAAAAGTATTATTTTACCCCGGTAATGACTACATATAAAGTTTTTATTTCTAGTCAGAATTCTGTGTTGTATGACTTAAGAGCTCCTTCCTGGCTTTAGGACTATTAGGTCTTGAGGGCCCTCCTTTTGAATGACACGGTCCCTCCAGAGAGTAAACCAAGAGCTGGAACTACATGATCATTGGTACTCAGATGGGGATGAAAGTGAACGTGTTATAGACCAGCTGTCCTTTTTAGGAGGTCTCAGTCCTTTGAGCATCTGATAAAAGCTTTAGACCACTCCACAGAAGAACGCACACATGTTGCATATATTTCAGGGGATACACGGACTCTAGGTTTAGAAACCCTGCTCTAGATATATAAAGAATGGTATACAAGGTCAGGAGTTCAAGACCTGCCTGGCCAACATGGTGAATCCCTGACTTGGGGATCAGGAGACAAGATTCTACTTCAGGCCTTGTTACTAGCCGTGTGTGTGACTAGTTGCCTAGATTTTTTGGTTTTCTGTTCATGTATGAGATAATCTGGGTGGTGGCCTTTTAGCTTTTAATGTGGAAACAGCATGGATTGGTTGTAAGGCCTGGGTTAAAATACTGGCTTGCCTACTCTTGTGAAACTGGAGAAAATATTTAACCTTATCTGGGCTTCAGTTATCTATGAAATAGTCTTCCTAACCTACTGTCTTAAAAGAATTTTAGTTTGGATGAAATTAGACAGTGTCTGTGAAGGTACTTTATCAGTTTTCCTTCCCAGTGTACATTAGCCACTCCTCTGCTCCTGTAGCGTTTCCATGTGTCTCTCCTAGGTTAACACGTGGTTTTGCTGTTGTCTCTATACTCATCTGTCACCCTGGGCAGACTGTGAGTTCCTCCAGGGCTCATATCATATATTATTTTTGGTTTTGTGTTGATAGCACTTGCGCGAGACATGGTAAGCACCCAGTGTATACTAAATGAATAATATAGAAAATAGTAGAAGAGGCCAGATGCGGTGACTCACACCTGTAGTCCCAGCACTTTGGGAGGCCAAGACAGGCAGATCACCAGAGGTTAGGAGTTCAAAACCACCCTGGCCAACATGGCGAAACCCCGTCTTTACCAAAAAAATACAAAAATTAGCTGGGCATGGTGGCACGTGCCTGTAATGCAGTTACTCAGGAGGCTCAAGTGGGAGAATCGCTTAAACCTGGGAGGCTGAGGCTGCAGTGAGTGAGCTGAGATCACACCACTGCACTCCATTCTGGGTGACAGAGTGAGACCCTGTTTCAAAAAAAAGAAAAGAAAATAGAATAATAATATAAAAAGTGGTTGTGATTGGTTTATAAAGGCATTATAAAGTTTATTGATAGTACTCAATTAAGGGATGCTTGAATCAGTGAAGTTAGAGAATGTTTCAGAAAAGCCAAAATGAAAGGACGGAATAAAGCAGGGGCATCTTAAGAAGAGTGCAGAGCAGCTCAGAACGTTTGTGCTTCTATTTTCCTTGTATCTGGAATGGTTTTCACCAGCTCATCTCATGCCTGGCTCCTTCTTATTCTTCGGGTCTCAGCTTCAATGTCACCTTTTCAGAGAGGTTTTCCCTGACCACCCTAGCTGAAGTAGCTCCCTGTTTCCCTATCTGTTACAGAGCTTTCTACTTCTTTTATGAAACACTTCTTTTTTTTTTTTTTTTTTTTTTGAGATGGAGTTTCGCTCTTGTTGCCCAGGCTGGAGTACAATGGCACGATCTTGGTTCACTACAAACTCTGCCTCCCAGGTTCAAGTGGTTCTCCAGCCTCAGCCTCCCGAGTTACTGGATTACAGGTACCCACCACCATTCCTGGCTAATTTTTGTATTTTAAGTAGAGATGGGGTTTCACCATGTTGGCCAGGCTGGTCTTGAACTCCTGACCTCAGGTGATCCTCCCACCTCGGCTTCCTAAAGTGCTGGGATTACAAGCATGAGCCACCATGCCAAGCTGAAACATTTCCTAAGATTTATAATTATTTCAGGGCCGGGCACAGTGGCTCACGCGTGTAATCCCAGCACTTTGGGAGGCCAAAGTGGGCAGATCACAAGGTCAGGAGTTTGAGACCAGCCTGACCAACATGGTGAAACCTCGTCTCTACTAAAAACACAAAAATTAGCTGGGTGTGGTGGCGCGCGTCTGTAATCCCAGCTACTCAGGAGGCTGAGGCAGGAGAATCGCTTGAACCCAGGAGGTGGAGGTTGCAGTGAGCCAAGATTGCGCCACTGCACTCCAGCCTGGGTGACAGAGTGAGATTCCGTCTCAAAAACAAAGAAACAAAAAAGATTTATAATGATTTCATATTTATGTAATATCTTTCTACTGCCTGAATATAAGCTTGAAGGAAGGAAGGGATGATGCTTGTCTTTTTCACTATTGTATTTCTAGTGCCTGTCACAGAAAGAACATAGTCTATATGTGTTGAATAGGTTAATAGAAGTTTAGGGTACAGGAGCTTAGGTCTAAATTATAGATTGAGAAACAGCTGTTTTTCTGTTCCATTACTATGATCATGCTTTATTGTATACCTGGCACCTGGCACTAGGGTGACCAGCCTTCCCAGTTTTCCCAGTACTGAGAGATTTTCTGGGACACTGGACTTTTCAGTGCTAAAACCTGGACAGTCCCAATCAAATCAGGATGATTTGGTTTGACCCTACCTGGCATGTAGCAGACACTTGGTACTTTTTATTTTTTAAAACTCTTTCATACTTGTTACCTCTTTTGATTATTAAACCCACATGGAAGGTAGGGCACGTGATAGAGCCTGATGGCACTGGACAGGTGAAGCAGCCGAAGCTCAGAGAGGCTAAGTTACATGCTTAGGTGTTCTTATTCCTACTCTAAGATTTTAATGCCAGTCAAGAAAATTGCAGCACTTTGGGAGGCTGAGGCGGGTGGATCACTTGAGGCCAGGAGTTTGAGACCTGCCTGGCCAACATGGCAAAACCCCATCTCTACTAAAAATACAAAAATTAGTCGGGCATGGTGGCGCACGCCTGCACGAGAATTGCTTGACTCTGTCTCAAAAAAATAAGAAAATAATGTTAGCTCAGTGTCCAATACGTGGTAGGTACAAATACATGCCTTTAAAAGTTCAAATTATAGTATGGCTCTCAAGGTGTGAGGTTGATAATTAGGGCTGGGAAACTTAAGATGGAGAGTCTTTAAAGTGGGGTTAGTGTCTATCCCTGTTCTAGTTCCTAAGAAGATATGAGAGGAAGAAAGAGAGTTGCTTTGTTTTGTTTTGAGCTTCCTGGACAAAGTGTGTGTGAGAGAATTGATAGGAGAAAGTAGATCTCCACTTTTCAAAGGCATATTAGCATCTGCCTTATGCATGGCACTAAAGGAGTGAATGAAGTACACATAAGATCACCTTTGCTCTTAAGGAACTGAAAATCTTGTTAAGTTTTTAAAAGTCAAAAGTCTGAAAGTTGTTAAGACTTCCCAGAGCCTAAAGAACATTCTAAAACCCCTTGTCAGGCCCACACAACCTGACAAAGTGAGCACATTCATTGACAGTGGCACCCTCCAATCACCCGCAGTACCCTATACCTTTTCAATTTTACAGGAAGCACAAGCTTGAGCAGGGCCCAGACTATAGTCCTGTCCTAGATCAAGTCTAGGCAGCTACCTCCTCTTCCCATGGCTCCACTGCTTTTACTCAACCCAGTGTAGGGACTGTGGCAGATGGAGAGTCAGCCCACAGTCTTAAACCTCATTCCACAGTAGTTGCACTGGGTAGTTGGAACACAGATGGAGGCAAGGGGGCCATCTTGTCACCCAGAGCCTGAACTGAGTGAGACCTCTACCCATTGTCTCCACTAACAGTCACATGGCCATCTGCTGCCTGCAGTTTAGTGTTCCATTGCTCCTCAAACCTCTCTACCTCTCCCAGAGGAAGTTGGTGAGGTGAAGGAAGGAAGTAGCCAGGAATACCTACACTAACAGCAACCCCATATCCATGAGTAAAGTCAGCTTCCACTTCCAGCCACCGTCCAGCATTCTGCCCTGGCTCACAGATAACCCTGTCCACAAGCACACTTCCACTCCCATCTTCGCAGAAGCCTAGCCCTTCTCCTTAGCCACACAGCTGTATCATGCATTAGCATTTGAGTTGTATTAAAAATGAATGTAGACCGTTTGTGTTGGCCCATGCCTGTAATTCCAACACCTTGGGAGGGTGAGGCAGGCGGATCATGTGTTTGAGTTTGAGACCAGCCTGGGGAACATGACAAAACCCTGTCTCTACTAAAAATACAAAAATTAGCTGGGCTTGGTGGCACATGCCTGCAGTCCCAGCTACTTGGGAGGCTGAGGCACAAGAATCACTTGAGAGGCAGAGGTTGCAATGAGCTGAGATCATGCCACTTGCACTCTAGCCTAGGCAACAGAGTGAGATTCTATCTAAAAAAAAACAAAAACAAAACAAAACAAAGACATCGTAGAGCCAGTCAGGGTGGCAAGAGCACTTGTAGTCCCCACAACTCGCGAGGCTGTTCTGTGTAGTAGCTGTGTTCTTAGTATTCCTGATGTGACAGTCAGCTTGACCCATAGATATTTTACTTAAGATAAAAGCAAAAAGCAAAATTACCTAATTCAAGAAATTACAGGTTTATCCAGTATATCTATCCATGTTTATTTCCTCTAATGGTTTCAGGTTGATTTCAAAATACTTAACTAAAAACATATTTCAATTTACTGTTTTTAAAAGACAGTTCTGTAAGTCAGCTATCAATGCTCGGTAAATGTATATCTTAATTAAATTTGATTTAACTCTCCAGGGGGAACACACCTGAAACTAGAGGAACAGCTTATGTGGTCTATGAGGACATCTTTGATGCCAAGAATGCATGTGATCACCTATCGGGATTCAATGTTTGTAACAGATACCTTGTGGTTTTGTACTATAATGCCAACAGGGTAAGTAAGTTCTCATTGTGTAGTGATCTCATTTGAGAATTAGTGTAGAACTGTACTGTGATGATATATGTCTACTGTGACTTTGTTTTTTGGCTAATGCTATTGATGAAATTCATTTGGCTATAGATTGGTAATTTAATTTTGGTGCTTACCACATTTCCAGGCATTTCAGAAGATGGACACAAAGAAAAAGGAGGAACAGTTGAAGCTTCTCAAGGAGAAATATGGCATCAACACAGATCCACCAAAATAAATGTTTTCTACATTTTCATTTTGGACTAAATCCCATGAATGACAATTTTCCACTTTTTTTTCCTTTTTAATTAATACTAAATATTGTGATTTCTAATTTGAGGTTCAACATGACCTACTTGAAACTTTGATACATATTAGAATACATTGTGTTAATAAACTTACAGCTTTTTGTGAAACACCTCAATCTTTTCTCTTGAACTTTCCCTTCCTGTTTGATACCAGGAAAAAACAGTCGAAGCTTATCAACAATTGTAGGTGCTCCTAGGGATTCTGTGCTTCTTGAGAACAGGACCTCTTAATGTAAATTCTTAATGCCTCCAGGGCCCAGTGCAATGCTTAGCCATCAAAGGAACTTGCTGTTTATTGAATGTCTATTAATAATTAAACCTTCATAACAACTCAGTGAAGATAGGTATTTGCATTTTGCAGGTGAGGAAACCAAAGCTCATGATGTTGGTTGAATGAATAAAATGCTAACATACAAAGCTGGTGTGATAACAACCAGTTATTAACCAAGCCTTTACATGTGAATAATGCTTGCTTTATAGTTAACAAAACACCTTTGTCAATATGGGTACCCTTGTCTTTAGAACAGAGGTCTGTTATAGAAATGGTCACTTAGATGATAGTACATTGTTAGAAACTTAGATTTGCCTCTTTAAATTTTTTAAAAAATTATTATGGGTACATAATGGTTGTCACATTGGTAGAAATTTGAGAGCAAGCTGCTTGGGTAGTGGTGTTGGTTGTTATATGTCTAAGATTGTATTTATGTAGCCTTTTCCTTTAGTTATTAAGCATCTGTATATATTTTGGACCTTAGTTCATAATATATCTTTACCATAAATAAAATACTTAATGTTCATTCTTATTATCATAAGTTCCCATGACATGGAAATAGTATGGTTATTACCCCATTCATCATCATGGCAGCTTAGGAGAATATAGCAATGATTTGCTTTTTATTGCTTAGGCATGGACCAAATGGGAAAACATGGACTAATTGTTTTGTGTGTAATTGGAACCTAAAATCAATTTGAAGGGTACATACACTGAATCATTTCAATGGACAAAGAGCATCAATTCTGCTTTTAATTGTATCTGAGTGTTTTTTGAAAGCAGTGTAAGAGAGTAGAGTCATTTCTAAGGGTGGGCAGATAAGAAAGGAGCCAGAGCTGTAATTTTCTTTTGAATGCTTTTATGAGTGCATTATTGGTTTTTGTAATGCATGTTGTGCCTTTAGGTAATGTAAAAATTTTCTAAAAGACTTTCTTGTAAGAGAAAAACTGAAATTAGACTTTAAAACTTAGAGTGTGATTTGTCTAAGTGGCAGGCTAGCTTGCCTCTGGTGTAGTTGTTTTAATAACAAGGAGAAATTCCTTCTATTAGCAATCATGACTAGTCCATCATTTGGATTGATATATGTTAGCTGAATTTCGTGACCTAAAGTTAAGACGTTTAAAACTTCCCTCTAATTTGGAAATTCCATATCCTGTCCCAATTAAGTTACAAGAACTTGCACTCAGTGGACAAACACTGACCCCGCACTCTGCACACAGTACTGCACCAAGATGCTGAGGATATAATTACGATCAGTCCTTTGCACAAGGCATCCAAAGCTCAGTTTTTCAAATGCTTTTAAGAGTGCAGCAGATGACTGTGTTTATATGTGCACACATGTGTGCCAGAGCTGCTTGACTTTCATCTAGGTTAAATTTTTGAGTTTCTAAGAAAAAATTTGTATGAATAGAGAATTCATTGACTGAAAGTTTGAAAACAACTGACGTGACCTTGATCTTATTTTTTTATTTTTTTTATTTTTGGAGACGGAGTCTCGCTCTGTCCCCCAGGCTGGAGTGCAGTGGCCGGATCTCAGCTCACTGCAAGCTCCGCCTCTCGGGTTTACGCCACTCTCCTGCCTCAGCCTCCCGAGTAGCTGGGACTACAGGCACCCGCCACCTCGCCCGGCTAGTTTTTTGTATTTTTTAGTAGAGACAGGGTTTCACCCTCTTAGCCAGGATGGTCTCGATCTCCTGACCTCGTGATCCGCCCGTCTCGGCCTCCCAAAGTGCTGGGATTACAGGCTTGAGCCACCGCGCCCGGCGACCTTGATCTTATTATTGCTCTTCTGTTTAACAACTTTAGTGGCTTTCACAGGCCAATGTCCAAACTCATTAGTATGCTGCATCATAATTTTCTGCATCATCTTTTAAAGCTCCAGTAAAATGGTTCATTTCCCAGTTTACCTGCAGAGCCTAGTCTGTCCTCTCCAGGTGCTAGCCAGTATGTGTTTGCACTTTTGGGGGAGTTCTCTTAGTGGGTGTCTTCTTTGACCCACCTCAGCTATAAATACTCTAGACCAAGATCTTTTATATACCCCATAGTAGGCACCTGAAATAGTCCTTGATGCCATATTTAGTTATTGGTGTCACAGGAGAAAATATGCATATGTCTTTTATGCAGGCTGACTTCTAAGAAATTATTGTAGGCATTTGTGTCATCAAAGAAAGCCAGGAACCAAGACATTCTGAAGGAAATACCTTCTGGCTGGTCTAGTCCCACAGTAGAGGTGAGCACAGAGACTTTGGGTGACTACAATGCAAGGCAGTTCCTTTCTCTTATTTTGTGCGTCCTAAACCTCTGCTTCTTCATTAGCTCCTCCACCCTCAGCAAAGGAATACAGCCAGGATTTCTTGGAGACAAAAAAGGTAGATCATGTAGCCAAGATGATATGGCCTCATAGCATGTATATGACATCATGTGACATGTATCAGTGGGTCTATGAGGAACACTAGCAGTACCTGTTACCAGCCCCTCCCTCCTCAATCTTGAAACAATTCCAAGTTGTCACTGATAGAAAACCCTATTGGCTGAGTGCAGTGATTTAAACCCGTAATCCCAACACTTTGGGAGGCTGAGGAGAGAAGATAGCTTGAGGCCAGGAGTTCGAGACCAGCCTGGGCAACATAGTGAGATTCCCCCATCTCTATTTTTTTTTAAATAATAAATAAATGCTTAAAAAAAAAAAAAGAATAATCCCAACTATGGCCAGGAGTTTTTCTCACCCTATACCAACTGAAAGAAAAATGTTTGAGGCTGGACGCAATGGTTCACGCCTGTAATTCCAGCACTTTGGGAGGCTGAGGCAGGCGGATCACAAGGTCAGGAGGTTGAGACCATCCTGGCTAACATGGTGAAACCCCGTCTCTACCAAACACACAAAAAATTAGCCGGGTGTGGTGGCGGGCGCCTGTAGTCCCCGCTACTCGGGAGGCTGAGGCAGGAGAATGGCGTGAACCCAGGAAGCAGAGCTTGCAGTGAGCCAAGATTACCCACTGCACTCCAGCCTGGGCAATAGAGTGAGACTGCGTCTCAAAAAAAAAAAAAAGAGAGAAAAATGTTTGAGCACATTGCCCCAGGCTCCTCTGACCTATACATAACCTATACCAATAAGTGGGTTGATTTTAAAACCTAACTGGTGTTTCTGGTCAGTTACAATAAATGTTGATGAAATAAGCACTATATGTGGAAAGAAGTTCAGAATCATACATTTTTCCCAAAAGTAATTCCTCAGTGTAAGTCAGAACAAATCTAGGTGAAACTAAGCAGTGTATGTGAAAACAAGCTCAGAATCACACCTTGTTTTCACAAGGAACTTCCCAGTGTGAGTTAGTATATGACTTCAAGCCCTTAATACACCTTTATTTGTTTGGATGCACAAAGTGTTCTGTTTCCATCTGGGTGAGTGGGGCTCATCCCTCTGGCTGTAGTCCAAACAAAGATTGCAAGAGCACATAAGGTGCTCAAATCCCACATCTGATTACTAAGCTACAAGATTTGGAGCCTGTATTTCTTTAGTTATGTAGAGGAGGATTCTGAGCCTGAGATGAGTGGCAGGTAATATCTACCTTGCAGGGTTGCTTAGAGGATCAATGGTAATAATTTAAAACTATATACAGCCAGGCACAGTGGCTTACACCTGTAATCCCATCACTTTGAGAGGCCAAGGCAGGTAGATCACTTGAGGTCAGGAGTTCAAGATCAGCCTCGTCAGTATGACAAAACCCTGTCTCTACTAAAAATACAAAAATTAGCCAGGCGTTGTGGTGAGCATGAGAATCATTTGAACCCAGGAGGCGGAGGTTGCAGTGAGCCAAGATTGTGCCACTGCATTCCAACCTGATTGACAGAGCAAGACTCCATCTCAAATAAATAAAAAAATAAAAAAGTATGTAGAACAAGGCCCAGCATGTAAAATGCTCACATTGTAGCTATTATATTTATCACTCGCCTAGCCACTTGGAACCCTGCTTCCTTTCCACTCTTTCCCAGGGGCAACTGGCTTGTGTGGTCCACAGAGCACTTCCTACCTAAAATAAGGATGGACAGGAGTTTGTCAAGCACAGAGCCTTTATTTTACGTATTTCCAAAGAGGACATTGTTTAAGTGAGCAGCCAACAGAATTTATGAGAGAAAGTGACAGCAAAGGTAACTGGCTCAAGTCCCTCTGTGTACGCCATGTACATTTCATGTCTGAGCACCTTGTGTATGTGGCTTAAGTGAAGGTAAGGCAGTGTAGATTGTGCGAACAAGAGATCTGTGTTCTGTCATCAGGAAAGGCTACTACATGCATCACACAAAATGCACAACCTGAAATGCTTCAATCTGCAACCGAAGTTTCCTCAAGCAAGGATTCGCATGAACACTGACGAACACATACAGAGCAACTTGGGCAGAGAGAATGGATGATGCCATGGGGCAGTGAGGTTAGCACACTGATCAAGAGCCCCAAACGGGAGGAGCCGTCCCAGTGGCAGAGCAGGCTAGGAGGGTGAGCAGCAGCCATCTCCAGCCACCTTGAGTTCCTTCCTGCCTTCACTCTAAGTTGAGCAGCTCCACGTCAAAGATGAGGGTGGCATTGGGAGGGATGACACCGGGGTGGCCCGTGGCTCCATATGCCACATCAGGGGTGCAGGTCAGCTTCGCCCTCTGCCCCAAGCTCATCTAGCAGGGATGGGGGCAGATGGGGAGAGGAGAAAGAGGACGCAGCTTGATTTAAAAGAAAAAAGTTAGATGACTATGGCATTTTCCCAAACCATCCTCAGTGTTAACTCTGAAGATCTCAGATGAATTTTACATGGGTTACATTGAAATTTTGCTAAGAGCTGTAACAAATGCAGATTCTGCTTCAGCAGAAATGTGACTGTGGGGCAGTAACCCTCACAGAGCGTTCTCAAATTCATGCATCTGACAAACATTACTGGTTATTCAATTTGTATATGACTGAAACACTTTCATTTGTTCACCCTCTTCCAAAGAATAGGCCTCTTTAGGAAAGAGGGTATATGAATAGCACATGTAAATACTCAAGTAGGTGACAGGAGCAGTTCATTAAAGTGGTTTAGAGACTAGAGTCACCAGCAAGGTGGCAAGGGGGACCTACTGTGGCCAACCATGGTGGCTCACACCTGTAATCTCAGCACTTTGGGAGGCCAAGGTGGGCGGATCACTTGAGTCTAGAAGTTCAAGACCAGCCTGGCTAATACGGCAAAACCCTGTCTCTACTAAAAAATACAAAAAGGCCGGTGTGGTGGCTCACGCCTGTAATCCTAGCACTTTGGGAGGCCGAGGCAGGTGGATCACCTGAGGTCAAGGAGTTGGAGACAAGCCTGGCAAACATGGTGAAATCCCATCTGTACTAAAAATACAAAAATTAGCCGGGCAGATGGTGACGGTGCACACCTGTAATCCCAGCTACTCGGGAGGCTGGGGCAGGAGAATTGCTTGAACCTGGGAGGTGGGAGTTGCAGTGAACCGAGATTGTGCCACTGCACTCCAGCCTAGGCAACAAAGTGAGACTATGTCTCAAAAAAAAAAACAAACAACAGTAGCTGGGCATGGTGGCAGGTGCCTGTAATCCCAGTTACTTGGGTGGCTGAGGCAGGAGAATCTCTTGAATCCAGGAGGTGGAGGTTGCAGTGAGCTGAGATTGCGCCACTGCACTCCAGCCTCGGTGACAGAGTGAGACTCTGTCTAAAAAAAAACACCAAAAACAAGACCTATTGTAAGGGAGCATCATAAGGACTTCACAGACAGACCAAGGAAGAAGAGCTTGAACCAGGGCTCATCACAGCAGTTGTTGAGAACCCGCTCAGCATTAGTAGGACAATTGGTGAAATTTAAATCTATTTTTGAATTTTGAATAATCAAAAATTTGAATAAGTAAGTAATATTGTATCAGTGTGAATGTCCTGGTTTTGATAATTGTACTATGGTTATGCAAGAAGGGGAAGCTGAATAGAGTATAGAAGAACTCTGTACTATTTCTGTAATAATTTTGTAAGTCTGAAATTCTTTCCAAAAAAGCAAAAAAAACAAAAAATATTTTTGGCCTACTCCACCCCAACTCTTCCGCCACCTCAGTCCCAGACAACTGGTAGACCTCAGCTAGTTTATTTTTTTGTTTTGTTTTTTGAGACAGCGTCTCACTCCATCGCCTGGGTTGGAGTACAGTGGCACAATCTCTGCTCACTGCAACCTTCACCTCCCGGGTTCAAGTGATTCTCCTGTCGCAGCCTCCCAAGTAGCTGCGATTGCAGGCGTGCACCACCACACCTGTATTTTCAGCAGGGACGGGGTTATACCATGTTGGTGAGTCTGGTCTTGAACTCCTGGCCTCAAGTGATCTGCCACAGTCGGCCTCCCAAAGTGCTGGGATTACAGGCATGAGTCACCATGCCTGGCCCTCTCAGGTAGTTCTAAGCAAGCCTAGGGGATGTGCTTGGGATGAGAGCTCCCAGGGACACAAAAGAGTCATGCTGGCAAGGAGAGGGGTGGGGACACAAAGCCAGGAGGGGATACCAGATGGCGTTGCCATGCCCTGGCGGTAGAGTCAAAGCAGTAGTGGTCTGTGAGTGGGTGAAGGTGGAGGTGGAGGGCAGAGTGCTGAGCCCAGATCCCCAAGTCTCCAGATCTCCTTTAATGTGAATCCTCACCTACCTGGGCTGCGCCCTCTTCAAAACCTTTGATGACTTCCTGTTTGCCAATTCTGAACTTGAAAGGTTTGTTTCTGTCTCTGGATGAATCAAATTTCTTCCCATTTTGGAGCATTCCTGTCAAAGCAAGAATCGGGTGCAATAGAGCTGTGGTCATGAGTTAACTCCCAATTCAGATTCCACATGTCTAAAATGGAATGCCTTTTCTGCACACACCTGCTCCTCTTCCAATCCTCCCCATCCATCCTGTTGCCCAGGCAGGAAATCTGGACACTTCCCTCTGCCTCACCCCCACATACTACCTATCACTAAGTCCTCCATATCTTTGTAATCTACCTATTTTCTTCATTTCTATTTTATTTATTTATTTATTTATTTATTTATTTGAGACGGAATCTTGCTATGTCACCCAGGCTGGAGTGCAGTGGCACGATCTCAGCTCACTGCAACCTCCACTTCCCGGGTTCAAGCGATTCTCCTGCCTCAGCCTCCCACATTGTTGGGATTACAGGCGCCTGCCACCACACCCGGCTGATTTTTGTATTTTTAGTAGAAACAGGATTTCGCCATGTTGGCCAGGCTGGTCTTGAACTCCTGACCACAGCACCTGCATCAGCCTCCCAGTGTTGGGATTACAGGCCTGAGCCACTGCTCCTGGCCTTTTCTTTGCTTCTATTACCACCACCAAGTAACCAGCTTATTTCACCTGTACACAGGAAGAACCTCCTAACTGGTCTTTTTGATCCTCTTTTACCCGCCTCCATTTCGTTGTTCACTTGGCATCCAGACTGATTTTTTTTTCTTTAAACACAAATCTGATTCTATTACTCCCCTGCTTAAAATACTTCAATAGCTCCCCAGGGCAGAATTCAAATGCCTACCTTGCATACAGGCACTTCACGATCCAGCTCTTGCCTGCTTATAACCCTCTCTGTTCTCCCCTTCCTTCCCTTCCCTCTGTGTCCTATTCAGGTCATGCCTTTCTCAAATTCCTCTGCACTTTTCAACTTTTTTTTTTCTGAGTTGGAGTCTCCCTCTGTTGCCCAGGCTGGAGTGCAGTGGTATGATCTCAGTTCATTGCAACCTCCACCTACCAGGTTCAAGGGATTTTCCTGCCTCAGCTTCCTGAGTAGCTGGGACTACAGGTACCTGCCACTGCGCCCGCTAATTTTTTTCATATTTTTAGTAGAGATGGGGTTTTGCCATGTTGGCCAGGCTGGTCTCAAACTCCTGACCTCAGGTGATCTGCCCACCTTGGTCTCCCAACGTGCTGGGATTACAGGCGTGAGCTATCATGCCCAGCCAGACTTTTCAACTTTTTTATGTCACTTCCTCTGCCTAAAGGTCTGTTTTCCCAGCTATTCCAGCCTCAGGTTGAGTCCTCACATAAGGTTCCTAAGGTTTCTTAAGTTTCCTCCAAAAGGCAAAACCCAAAGATTGCATCATCCCCTACTGCAGGGAACAGTGTCAGGTGACCTAGCTAGTCAGAGGTGGCCTCCAGACTCTGTACTAATAGGGCTGTTTGAAACCAGAACCCCCCCCAGGTGCTAGTCCAGCAGTTCCGGGTCCCCCAGCTTCTGCTTCAGAAGACTTGTCATCCCCATGTCCACATGTCATCTCAGTTCAGCAACTCAAGGCCCAACAGCTATTCTCAATTCTTCTGTGACTCTGACTCAAAGATCAGACCTTCTGTAAATGATGCGGTTCTATGACTGCTCCTGGCAGTCCCTGGACCACCACAAAAGGCCGTTTGGGACTAGAAAAAGACCTTGCTTGAACGTCCAGAGACTGGGTTTTGACTTCACTCTGGCACTATCTCATTGTGTGACATTGGGCAAATCACTTCCTCTTCCAGGGCCTCAGATGTGTCATGTTTAACATAGGAAGCGTGGCCAGCTTAGTGTTGGAGCATCTATGATGCCACTTCCTAATTCCTTCAACTAAAATGTATATTAGAGAAACAGACTTATTTAACTACTCTCTCAGTAAAATACATCAGGCTTTTGCCCTGGGTACTAAATGAGGCAAAGGAGAAAACCCTTCTGGCTACACAGAGGTACATGCAGGTGGATGCTAACAAGATCAAATACAATCTCGTGCATTTGCTAAGGTTGCTAAGATATTCAAATACACAAAGATACTTGTGCATGCTCACATGCTCTTATGCACTCACACTCAGGAGAAAAGCTCTGGTGGCCAAAGAGATGCTAAGAAAATATTTAGATACATAGATCTACATACATTCACACAGATACATACTTGTACAAATATGCACATGGATATGCACACACACGCACACATTCACATACTATTTATACACCAACTTTCCTTTCTCATTCCTTAGTTTCTTCAGGTTTTATGTGACTTAATCTACTTTGGATAAATAACTTCAGTTATCTCTTGCTACAAGTTCAGCCAAAACCATGCAGTCTAGAAACAGACCCACTTATACGGTGATTTGATTGGACAAAGATGCCACTGCAATGCAGCAAATAAAGGATTTTTTTTTTTTTTTTTTTGCATTAAGGTTGTTGAGTCAACAGTATATTCATATGGGAAACAGTATATTCATATGGGAAAAAAAATGAACCTTAACCCCTACCAAATCCACACACAAAAAAATCAATTCCAGATGAATCATAAACCTAAATATGAAAGATAGAATAATAAAGCTTCTACAAGATAATAAATAGAAGGATATCTTCATGACCCAGAGACAAAGATTTATTTATTTATTTTTTTTTCTGAGACGGAGTCTCATCTCTGTCACCCAGGCTAGAGTGCAGCGGCTCGATCTCAGCTCACTGCAACCTCCACCTCCCGGGTTGTTCAAGAGATTCTCCTGTCTCAGCCTCCCAAGTAGCTGGGATTACAGGCATGCACCACCATGCTTGGCTAATTTTTGTATTTTTAGTAGAGACAGGGTTTCACCATGTTGGCCAGGCTGGTCTCAAACTCCTGACCTCAGGTGATCCACCTGCCTTGGCCTCCCAAAGTGCTGGGATTACAGGCATGAGCCACTGCACCCGGCCTGATGAAGATTTCTTAAACTGAACACAGAAAGCACTAACCATAAAAGAAAAGATTGATAAATCTAGGCCGGGTGCGGTGGCTCAAGCCTATAATCCCAGCACTTTGGGAGGCTGAGACGGGCGGATCACGAGGTCAGGAGATCGAGACCATCCTGGCTAACACGGTGAAACCCCGTCTCTACTAAAAAAAAAAAAAACAACAAAAAACTAGCCGGGTGAGGTGGCGGGCGCCTATAGTCCCAGCTACTCGGGAGGCTGAGGCAGGAGAATGACGTGAACCCGGGAGGCGGAGCTTGCAGTGAGCTGAGATCCGGCCACTGCACTCCAGCCTGGGCGAGAGAGCGAGACTCCGTCTCAAAAACAAAACAAAACAAAACAAAAAAAAAACAATTGATAAGTCAGACTTCATCAAAATTAGGAACTCTGTTCAGGCCAGGTGCAGTGGCTCACACCTGTAATACTAGCACTTTAGGAGGCCAAGGTAGGAGGATCAGTTGAGCCCAGGAGTTCGAGACCATCCTGGGCAACATAGGGAGACTGCCCTCTCTACAGATAAATTAAAAATTAGACAGATGGCCGGGCCCTGTGGCTCACGCCTGTAATCCCAACACCTTGGGAGTGAGATCCTATCTCAAAAACAAAAAAGAAAAAAAATTTTATAAAGAAACAAAATAAGAAAAAATAAACAATAAAAAAAGGACTTCTATTCAAAAGCTACTATTAAGAGAGTAAAAAGGCAAGCCACAGTGTGGGAGAAGATATTTGGGATAGATATAACCAACAAAAGACTCATATCCAAAACATATACAAAACTCCTATAAATCAACAAGAAGAAGACAACCGGCCAGGCACCGTGATTTATACCTATAATCCCAGCACTGGGAGGCCGAGGCAGGTGGACCACCTGAGGTCAGGAGTTTGAGACCAGCCTGGCCAACATGGCGAAACCCTGTCTCTAGCAAAAACCCAAAAATTAGCCGGGCACGGTGGCTCGCGCCTGTAATTCCAGCCACTCAGGAGGCTGAGGCAGGAGAATCACTTGAACCTGGGAGGTGTAGGTTGCAGTGAGTGAAGATCACACCATTGCACTCCAGCCTGAGCAACAAGAGTGAAACTCCGTCTCAAAAAAAGAAAAAGAAAAAGACAACCTAATTTTTTTTAATGGGCAAAATTAGAGCAGTCTAAAGAGGATATCCAAATGGCCAGTAGGCACATGAAAAAGTGCTCAATGCCATTCATCATCAGGGAAACACAAATCAAAACCACAACGACCAGTCTGGCCAACATGGCAAAACCCCGTCTCTACAAAAAATACAAAAATTAGCTGGGTGTGGTGGTGTGCACCTGTAATCCCAACTACTTGGGAGGCTGAAGCACAAGAATTGCTTGAACCCGGGAGGCAGGGTTGCAGTGAGCCGAGATCTTACCACTGCACTCCAGCCTTGGTGAAAGAGCAAGATCTTGTCTAAAAAAAAAAAAAACCCACAATGAAATGGTACTGAATACTCACCAGAGCAGGCCAAAACCAAAACAAAGCCTGGCGTGGTGGCTCATTCCTGTAATCCCAGCACTTAGGGAGGCTGAGGCAGGCAGATCACCTGAGGTCAAGGGTTTGAGACCAGCCTGGCCAATATGGTGAAACCCCATCTCTACTAGAAATACAAAAATTAGCCGGGTATGGTGGTGGGTGCCTGTAATCCCAGCTACTCAGGAGGCTGAGGCAGGAGAATCGCTTGAACCCAGGAGGCAGAGGTTGCAGTGAGCCAAGATTGTGCTATTTCTCTCCAGCCTGGGCAACACAGACTCTGTCTCAAAAAAAGAAAAAAATAAATAAACAAAACAAAACCTGACAATACCAAATGTTGGGGAGGACACAGGGTAACTGGCACTCTCCTACACAGCTGCCTAGAGTGGAAATTGGCACAATGACTTTGGAAAGCTGTCGGACAGTACTGCTAATGCTGAGTCTAGGTACCCCACTTCCAGGTATATACCCAACAGCAACATGCACATATGTTTGTACACATGTACACTAAGAGATGCCTGCAAGACTGATCAAAGTGACACTGTTTGTAATAAATAAAAACTATGAACAACCAAAATGTTCATCAGCGGTAGAGAGGATACATAAATTGCAACATACTCATACATTAAAATACTGTAGAGGAATAAACCACTCTGGATATATCTCGCAGACATAATATTGAGTGACATAAGCCAAACACAAAAGAGTACATATGCTATGGTTCCATTAAGATGAAGTGCAAAAGTAGGCAAAACCAATCCATGGAGACAAAAGTCAGAGTAATAGTTGCCAGCCAGGCACAGTGGCTCACACCTGTAATTCCAGCACTAGGAGGCCATGGTGGAAGGATCACTTGCATACAGGAGTTTGAGACCAGCCTGGACAACATAGTGAGACCCTCATCTCTACAAGAAATTAAAAATTAGCCAGGCATGGTGGCTCGTGTCTGTGGTCCCAGCTAGTCAGGAGACTGAAGCAGGAGGATTACTTGAGCCCGAGAGGTTGAGGCTGCAGTGAGCGGTGATCACCACTGCACTCAGCCTGAGTCACAGAGTGAGACCCTGTCTCAAAACAACAACAACAACAACAAACCAGAAAAACAATGATAGCTACCTTTAGGGAGGTGAAATGACTGGAAGAAGGCATCAGAGGGACTTTTGGGGATGCTGGTAATGTTCTATGCTTCTCTGAGTGGTAGTTACCTAAGTGTGATCACTTTGAAAAAATTCATTGACCTGGACATCTTACATTATGTTCTCTACTATATTTATATTTAACTTAAAAGTTTCCCAAAAGTCCCACAGTCTCCTGCTGTGTTTGATAAGACAGTCTCTCCCAAGACCAGAGCTGCTGCCCTATGTATGTATTGTGAAAGGACTTTGCAAAAGGATGTTGTGGTTTCAGTAACTTGATAAATACTGGTCTGTCTACAACATTTAAAATTGTTAAATCAATTACACAGGTCAGAGGCCCCAGAGGCCCCATGGTAATTAGGCCACATCACCAGGAGATAAAACATGGTCCAGCCCACTGACATCAGCGACCAGCAACACAACTGCTGAAAACATCCACGCCGTCTGTGTAGAATTAACCTTGTGCTTCACGCTGGCTCACAGAACTGCTAAAAATGGCCCCATCCGAGTATGTCCTAGGAATTAACCTGGCCTTGCTGTCTGCTAAATGGCTGTCATCGAGTTTGCCACTTTAGGAAGCAGGTCACAAGGTAGGGTGCTCACCCCCCTTGGAACAAACACCTGCTCATGATCTTCCTGCCAGCAGTCCTGAGGAACTCGCTCTACCTCAGCTGCAGATAAAGAGCATCCAACAGGGATCAGTCCCGCTCTGGGCTCCCCCGGCACCCAGAGACAAGCACTGCCATCACCCGACACCTCAAATGGCATCAGAGCCTCTGGGTGACTTCTCTGTCCTCTCCCCTCCTCTTCTTCTCTAATGATACTGCAGGATGGAGAGAGAGTCTGCTGGGAGCTCTCGGAGGGATTTCTAAATATCAGACAGACCCAGCAGGGACAGGGGCTCCACCATGCCTGCAACAGAAGGAAGGGGACTGAAGGTGTTTGACTCACCTAGAAGCTGGCACCATGGATGGCCCTTGCTGGAAGAAGAGGGAAAGAGTTGGCCTTCCAAGCCTCCTTTATCATTGCCACTAGACTGGCTGGGAGGAGTAGGGGATGGCTGGTCACAGGGAGACCCTGCTGCCTTGGGCTTTAGGTCTGATTCAGACGCAGGCACCTCTGGAGAGAAGCTCAGAGGACAGCCCTGCCTTGGGAGGGGCAGGACTGGAGTGGGGGCTGAGGGGTGAGACTTACCTGTGTAGTGCACCACACACGTCTGGCCCTTCTTGGGGAATGTCCTTCCTGCAGGGAGACATGAGGGCAGATGAAGGAGTAGGGTATTGGAAAAACACCTGGGACATTAAGTATGATCCTGACCAAGAGCTCCAGCCTGCATTCCCCTCCACGCCATGCAGATGCCTGTGGAACTAGTTCTGGCTCCTGGCCCTGTACGAGCCAGAATGAATCACGTCACCTCTCTGGCCTGGATTTACTTTACCCCCTGAGTTTTCTCAACTCTGCTCTCTCCTGGGCTTTCCCACCACCCACCCCCACTTTCTTTGATTGCCCCTTTTACTTCACATCATCCACTCCACAGACATTTACAGTTGGCCTCCTATGTGCCAGGCCTGGACCAGACTTCAGACATGCAGAGCAATGTATAAACTCATGAGGAATGTAGGGAAACAGACACACAAATACCAGATTACAATGCAGATTATAATCCATCCATCAAGGATGAATAAACGGAATCATTTACAAATATTTGCTGAGAGGCCAGGCATGGTGGCTCACATCTGTAATCCCAGCACTCTGGGAGGCTGAGGCATGAGGATCACTTGAGCCCAGGAGTTCTGGATCACCCTGGGTAACATAGGGAGACCCCATCTCTTAAAAAAAAAAAAAAAAAATTCTTTTCAATTAGCCAGGTGTGATGCTGCACACCTATAGCCCCAGCTACTCAAGAGACTGAAGTGGAAGGATTGTTTGAGCCCAGGAGGTCAAGGCTGCAGTGAGCTGTGTTCATGCTACTGCACTCTAGCCTGGGTGACAGAGTAAGACCCTGTCTCAACAAACAAACAAAACAAAACAAAACAAAACCACAAATATTTACTGAGTACCTATGGGGTGCCATGCCTGTGCCTGATCACAGGGATACAGCAGTGAACACTACAAACAAGATCTCTATCCCTGTTCTTTTAGAGTTTACTTTTTTTTTTGTAAGAGTAGGGGTCTCAGTGTGTCACCCAGGCTGGAGTGCAATAGCATGATCTTGGCTCAGTGCAGCCTTGACCTCATGGGCTCAAGCAATCTTTCTGCCTCTGCTTTCTGAGTAGCTGGGACTGCAAGTGCATGCTGCCATGCCCAGCTAATTAAAAAAAAAAAAATTTGTAGAGACAGGGTCTTGACATGTTGTCCAGGCTGGCCTTGAACTCCTGGGCTCAAGAGCTCCTACCATCTCAACCTCCCAAAGTGTTGAGATTATAGGCATGAGCCACCACACCTGCCATGGACTTTATATTCTAATGGACAGAGACAATACTTAAATATGCAAAACGATTATGGATTATGATGAATACTCTAAAGAAAACACACACAATGATGTATTAAAGGGAGATGCAGTGGGACAGACCATTTCAGACAGAGTGGTCCAGGATGGCCTCTTGAAGAAGGTGCCCCTGGAGCTAGGACTTGAAGGATGAGCAAAATACTGGGAATTAGCACTTGGGGAAGGAGTAACAAGTGCACAGAATCAATCCATTTGCAGCGAGCAAGGAGGTTAAGTGGAAAGAAGGGAGGGAGGACAGAGGTGGGAAGGAGATGGATCATACAGGGCTTGCAGAGCCGGATTTCATACTAAGTGCAATAGGAAACCACTGGAGGGTTTTAAGCCAGAGAATGACATAATCCGAATTAAGATTTTATAACATCACTCTGACTGCTATGTGTAGGATGGACAGTAAGGCGTCTGTTGCAATAATCCAGACAAGAAATCAATGATAGCTTGATTTAAGGTGGTGGCAGCAGAGAAGAGAGTGAAATAGACTGGAGACATATTTTGGAAGCAGAGCTGACAGGGCATGCAATCAAATTGGAAATGGGGTCCAGGATGAGGACAAAGGAGACAACAAGAACGATGCTTGGGTTTTCTGTTTGGGCAACTGGATGAATAGTGGAACTATTTCCTGAGATAGGGAAGACAGGAGGAACAGATTTGTGCGGGTGGCAATCTTGAGATGCCTATTAGACATCTGAGTTTATATTGCAAGTAGGCAGATGAAGAGTCTGCACTGGAGATATAAATTTGGCTGGAATTTAAAGCTATGGGGCTAGATAACAAAGCCTAAGGAAGGCTAACCACAGAGCCAACATTTAGAGGACTTTATGGGAGCCTGGAGGAGGGAGCAGCTAACTGACTGCAGAAGTCAAGGAAAATATCATAGAGGAGAGAATGGCGAAGCCAGGTCTTGAAAGACAAGTAAGAATTTGCCAGAGGAAGTAAAAAAACACCATCTGGGAAGAGGGAATGACATGTAACATGTTCAAAGGCCTTCAGTCCAGCAATAGCGGGGACCCTGTCTGTTTCAACGCTGTCACCTTAGGGCCTAGCACACACGTTCAATAAATATTTGCTGAATGAGTGGTGTGTTCGACAACTTGCAGGCAGCTTGGGAAAGCTGGAGAAAAAGTTGGTGGTGGGCTCAGGACAGGTGGTGAGAGATGAAGCTCTAGTGTGGAAGATGAGAATAGACCACAGCACCAAAGGCCCCTCTGCCTGGGGGAGAGGGAAGAATCATTTAAAACATCTTCTACCTGAGGGAGGGGCATGGTCAAATATGCATTTGTTTTCTTCTTCTTCTTCTTATTTTTGAGACGAGTCTCGCTCTGTCACCCAGGCTGGAGTGCAGTGGCACAATCGGCTCACTGCAACCTCTGCCTCCTGGGTTCAAGCCATTCTCCTGCCTCAGCCTCCCCAGTAGCTGGGATTACAGGCATGCACCACCACGCCTAGCTAATTTTTGTATTTTTAGTAGAGACAGGTTTCACCATGTTGGTCAGGCTGGTCTTGAACTCCTGACCTTGTGATCCACCCGCCTCGGCCTCCCAAAGTGGTGGGATTACAGGCATGAGCCACCACATTTTAAGAAGAGTCTTCAGGCTATGATGTAGAAAGGGAGTGAATATGAGATTGGGGATGAGATTGAAGGCAGGGAGGAGAGGCTGAAGATGGGGAGATTAGCTCAGTGGCTGCTGGGGGATGAAAAGGCCTCAGGGAGACGCTTTCTGGGACCCAGCATCAAGGTTTCCTGCGTGGGCAAAGAATCCTGTACCCCAGGGGATATCCAAAGTAGTGGTTGGGATTGGACAAGGAGCATGGCCTGGAGCCAAGAAGTTCTCCAATTTCCTGGGCAGGGGAGCTGTTCATATTAATAATATCTGATATGAAGTTTGCCCATCAAACCCTGCAGACAATGGGAGCTTTGGTATGAATTAAATTTCAAGAAATAAAGAAATGGCTATTCCTTGCACACCCAGACCCAGTAATACAAGGGCTTGGGAAAGTGAGATAAGGAAGGGGGATGAGGAGGATCACTTAGGGGAGAAGGTGGGAAGCGCAAGTTCTGTTTTGGATTTGCTGACTAGGGAGCACCTTGGGACCTCCAGGGAGAGGTCCGGCCGCAGGTCGCAGGGCTGGGCTTAGAAGCTTCAATGTGGAGGCCATGGGAGTGGACAGGGTGGCCAGGGAGTCTGAACGCGGCGGGAGGATAAAGCGAGATCCGGAAGCCGGCAAGGGAGCGCTTCCCCCTTTCCCAGCCTGGGTCTGTCCCCACAGCCGCTCACAGCCCGGCCCACAGGGAAGCGACCGACAGGAGGCCCGGCGGGGGACGCGCTAGGAGGAGGTCCCGGAGCAGCGGAGACCCGAGAGCAGGTCCTGCTTTCCAGAGCTCGCCGAGCAGGGCAGGGAAAGCTAAGCCGAAACCCAGCCTGGGGTATCAGCAGCAGCGGATAACCGAACGGTAGCAGCGGCGACAGGAGCAGCCCGGGGTGGTGGGCCGCAGACCCCCGGCTCCGGGCCGCAGACCCCCGCCTCCAGGCTGCCACCTACATTCCCCTAGGTGAGTCGCGGAAGAGGATGGTGGAGGATGGTCTCCTAGACCCCCAAGAATCCCGTCCGGGGTCTCCGCCTGCCCTCCGCATCCAGCCCCCCGACCCTTCAGCACCCTCCGCGCCACCTCCGAATCAGACCCCCGCCCTCCGGGCTCCGCCCGGGGACCCCTCCCCTCCCCCGGCTCCGGAGGGAGCCCGGTACCGTCTCCGGGGGAGATGGTCTCGATCTCCACGCCCATAGCGGTCCCACAGGCCCCGCCTCCGGGGGTCCCTGCTGCTGCCCGACCCCGGCTCTGCTCCGGTCCCGGCCCCGCAGTCGCTCCGGCTCGCCTCCCCGCCGCCACTGCAGAGCCAGAGGAGGTGCGGCTGGAGTCGGGACCTGCGCGGGGAGGGGCCACTGGGAAGGGGGCGGCGGGGCGGAGCCGCGCGGAAAGGTGGGGTCGGCCGGGGCGGGGCCCGGGGGAAGGGACCCCGCCCGGCTGTTAGCGAGCCTGGCCCCTCCTGACGACATTAACCCGCTGACCGGGAAGCATGGTAAGCACAACCACATCCTCCATCCATCCATTCATTCGCCCATCCGTCCAACACACATTTATTTAGCATCTAATCTGTACTAAGCTCTGGGAAGTCAACCCGGTCCTACGGACTTGTCGGGGGTGGGGGGCAGAAGGGGCAAAGGCCGGCAATTAAACCATTATTTTATTTTTGTTTTTTTTTTTTTTTTTAGAGAGAGAGGATCTTGCTCTGTCGCCCAGGCTGGAGCCCAGTGGCGCGATCATAGCTCACAGCAACCTCGAACTCTTAGGCTCAAGCGATCCTTCTGCCTCAGTCTCCCAAGTAGCTGGGACTAGAGGCTCGAGCAACCACGCCCAGCTAATTTTTTATTTTTTGTAGAAACAGGGTCTCGCTGAGTTGCTATCTAATGAAACCATCACTTTAATTAGATGCGCTCAGTGCCGTGCTGTTCAGAGCGTTGCGGAAGCACCGAAGAGGTTCCTACCCTCGCTAGGCGTCCTGGATCTGTAGGAGCAGAGCTCCGGGAGGGAGGGAGAACACCAGTCATTGCTGACTCTCCCCCATACCCTTAAACCCCTGTTCGCCATCTCATGTAGTTTTGCTCGACGCACATTTATTGGGTACTCAATTTTCAAGGCAAAGAAATGCGCCCTGGGGATACCAATTGAATTAAGACAGAATGGCTGTTTTCCAAGTACTAAATCTGAGAGAGATGGGGACACAGAGTTACCGCATGGAGTGATTAGTGCTGTGGAATGAATGAATGAATATGTAAATGAATTCTACTTTGAGTTCCTCCTCCACCTAAAAAGACAATCAGGAATCTAGAAAAATATTTTTTGGAGGAGGTAATATTTGTTTGAAGGGTAATTGGGACTTTTAAAACTTTTTTTTCCGCTCGTTATTACCTGCATTGTTCCAAAAATTGATGTGAGGCCGGGCATATCAATTTTTGGAACAATGGCTCACACCTGTAATCTCAACACTGTGGGAGACCGAGGCAGGAGGATTGCTTGAGCCCAGGAGTTCAAGACTAGCCTGGGTAACATAGCAAGATCCCGTCCCTCTCTCTCTCTCTCTCTTTTTTTTTTTTTTGAGACAGAATCTTCACTCTGTCGCCAGGCTGGAATGCAGTGGCACAATCTCGGCTCACTGCAACCTCCGCCTCCCGAGTTCAAGCGATTCTCGTGCCTCAGCCTCCCAAGTAGCTGGGATTACAGGCGTGAGCTACCAGCGTCCGGCTAATTTTTAAATTTTTAGTAGAGACCGGGTTTCACCATGTTGGCCAGGCTGGTCTTGAACTGCGGATCTCAGGTTATCCGCCCGCCTCGCCTCCCAAAGTGCTGGGATTACAGGCACGCCATCTTTATTTTTAAAAAAAGAAAAGAAAAGAAAAAGAAAAACATAAAAACTGATGTGAAGGTATGATTCTGCTAAGTGGCACTGGAAGATAGGCATGGGGAGAAAAGCCTGGCAAACGGGCCCAGAATGAACCCCAAGGGTGTTCTTCCTCCATTTCCCCATCCCCACTCTCCCGGATGCTTAGATCCCAGATGAGGTTGTCTGCATCCCTGAAGGTGGACTGGCTGTGTTGTTCAAGAAAGATGATGGTCAACTGTACTGTGAAGGTCAGGACCTGGAATTCCTCATGTGCTGCTCCGAGATGTGGCCCAGTCTTCCAAGCGTGTGGCTGGTCTAAAGAAGCCTAAGGGATGCACTAACTCCACAGGCTGTGGCCAGAGCAGGCACACTTAGGGTGGGCGTAGAACAGGGATTTGTAGCTGGGACAGGCCCATGAAGCGACTTCAGATGAATGCACAATATTTTGTGTACAGATAAGAACATTTTCCTGGACAGATTTTATCAGATTTTAAAGGTTAAGAAGCCGTGTTGATCCTAGGGCTCCTGGACTCCTTAGACAAGAGAACCGAGGAGAAGTGGGGAAAGAGCTCAAGTGCTTAACGGAGGGAAAATGTGGCGGGCTTGCGGTGGGTGGTTTCATGGGGACTACAACTCCCAGCGATCCATGCGGTACAGCCAGAGCTTATTGGCCAGTGGAATGAACCCTCTCCTAATGTGCACATTCAAAAACCAATAGACGGGGCCATCTAGGAGATTGCCTATCCCATCAGAGGACCACTCACCTATCAGAGGACAGATATCACCGCCCACCTATCAGAGGACTGAGGGCCGGTGCTTCCGGTGACTGACCAGAGCTGCTTATCTGCGGCGGCGTGAGGTTGGGCGGCCACAGGGACACTGGTGTTTTTGTGAGGCAGTGAGAGCTAAGGTATTTTGTCTCCACTGCTGCCGGGCCTGGCGGGTGTGGGGAGGCTGTAGGGGGTCGGGAGGGAAGTGGACCGGCTCTTGGGGGATGGGGGGCCGGAGGGAGGAGATTCAGGCGTGCAGAGAGGATGAGAAGAATGGGGCGGGCCGCGTGTGCGGGGTCGCGGGATGAGGACCGAGCTGGGGGTGGATGAAACGAGGGAATATGACTGTGACTAGTGAATAACACTCCTGGGAATATGTCCCAAGGAAGTCATCCAAAGTCAGGAAGTGCTTTAAGCCTTAAGACCTCGGTCCCAGCGTTATTTATAGCGGGATAAAGTTGGGTACAGCTAGGAGCAGTTCAGTACATTATGTCACTTCACTGAGTGTATGTGAAGTGGCCTCTAAAACTAATTTATAAAACTTTTAAATAACATGGGGAAATGCTAATATATAATGTTAAGTGAAAAAACCGTGATACAAAGTTGCACAGTATGACTGAAAAAGTTTGACAGCCAAACTATGCATAGAAGAGTCTAGAGGGATGTAGTAATTTTTTTTGGATGAATGTTTTTTCGTTAACTCTTCTTAATTTTTTCCTGTGTATGATTTTTGTTTTCAAATAAGTGTAAAGGACTTGAAATCATTTTATAGTGGAAATACAATAAACTTGGAAAACAAGTGGGGGGAGGGATATACTTTTGTTTAAACCTGCTGGAAATGCCAGTTCACCTGAATCCCTTGATTCTCATCATGAGTTGTCTTTAAAGAAGATGAAAAACACAATTAAATGGTTATATACTGAGCACCGGCTCATGGTTTTCTGACCACCTCTCCGGAGACCTGAACTAATACAGCGGTCTTTTCCCTCCTAAAACACCCAGGGTTCTTGATTTCATGTTCTCCAGAAAACTTACACTCTGGAGATTGTGAAACAATAGGTACACAGTTAGTTTCAGGCAAAATCAGTAGCGTTGGGGAATGCGTGAAGGTCATTTAAACCTTGGTCCTCCTGGCCCTCTGATCTTTAACAGTGAGGTTCTCCACCACCTTGACTTTTAATTGTTAACCCTGAGTCAGTGATTTCCAGATCCTTACCTCTGACTGCCTAAGGTACATTGGTACCATGTAGACATCTTACATGAAGCACATGTTAATTTCAATTGGTCACATACTACACACGTTCCTCCCCTACTGCCCCCGCCCACTCCCCCCCCCAGCAGGGTTTCACTCTGTCACCCAGGCTGGAGTGCAGTGGTGTGATCATAGCTTACTGCCTTGAACTCCTGAGCTCAAATCCTCTCAGCCTCCAGAATAACTAGGACTGCAGGTGTGTGACGCTGCACCCAGCTAATTTTTATTTTTATTCTTTTTTTCTTTTTCTTTTTTATGGAACACTTCACAAATTTGCAAGTCATCCCTGTGCAGGGGCCATGCTACTCTCTGTATCATTTCAGTTTTAGTATATGTGCTGCCAAAGTGAGCACCCACCTCATTTTAAAAAATTTTTCTGTAGAATTGGAGTCTCCCTGTGTTGCCTAGGCTGGTCTTGAAATCCTGGCATCAAGTGATACTCTTACCAAAGTGCTGGAATTACAAGTGTTAGCCACTGTGCCTGTCCTGCCCTGCCCTTCCTTTCTCTTTCTTTCTTTCTTTTTTTCTTTTTTTTTTTTTGAGATGGAGTCTTGCTCTGTCACCCAGGCTGGAGTGCAGTGGTGCGATCTTGGCTCACTGCAACCTCTGCCTCCTAGGTTCAAGCGATTCTCCTGCTGCAGCCTCCCAAGTAGCTGGAACTACAGGCACGTACCACCACCCCCAGCTAATACTGTATTTTTAGTAGAGACAGGGTTTCACCATGTTGGCAAGGCTGGTCTCAAACTCCTGACCTCAGGTGATCTGCCTGCCTCAGCCTCCCAAAGTGCTGAGATTACAGGCATGAGGCATCGCACCCAGCCTGCCCTGCCTTCCTTGCCTTTGCAACATGCTCTGGTTAATGGTTCAGCAGTTTCTCAAGCTAAAAATCTGGGTGTTATCCTTAATTCTGTTTTCTTCCTCACTACTTATATTCTATCTGATATCACTGTCTGTTCCATCTGCCTTAGAAGCATCTCCTGAATAATGGCCTTCTTTCTCTACTGAAATAGTTGCAAACTTGCTTCACTTTCACTTTGTGGCATTCAAATTACTTGTCAACTTTCTTCCTTCTCAGGTCCATTCTGCATATTGTCACTCGAATATATGCTGGTTCCCCCAAGATTCCAAATTCCCCAGTATGCCCTTTATGATCAGAGAATAAACTTAGAAAGATATATCAATATCTGATAATATAAGACTTTAAATGCCTTGTTAAGACATTTCGAGGCTTTTTTATATGTACTGTAAATGTGGGGATTCATCAAGGGTGTTTATGCAGAAGAGCAAAATGATCACAGCTGTGCTTTTTTTTTTTTTTTTTTTTAAAGATAATTCTACCCAACAACACATAGTATGCAGGCTCATTTGGAAAGTAGAGACTGGTATCAAGGGAACCTCTCCTTGTTTTACCCTAATAAAAAGGGAGAAGTCAGAACCTGGGCTAACACAGGAGTAGAAAGGAATGGAGCAGATTTTTGTAATTATTGCATTTTTGAGAAAAATGTGCCACATTTCTTCTTGTTACTGAAGATGACAATATTAAAATTCATTCTTCTAAAAACCTCAGTAAACTGGCCTCTACAGTGGCTCACGCCTGTAATCCTAGCACTTTGGGAAGCCAAGGCAGGAGGATCACTTGAGGTCAGGAGTTTCAGCCTGGCCTCTACTAAAAATATAAAAATTAGCTGGGCGTGGTGTTGGGCGCCTATCCCAGTTCCTTGGGAGGCTGAGGCACAAGAGTCACTTGAACCCAGGAAGTAGAAGTTGCAGTGAGCCTAGATCATACCACTGCACTACAGCCTGGGTGACGGAGCAAGACTCCATGCCCCTACCCCCCAAAAAAATAACCTCAGTAAACTTATTCCCATGTTTGTTTTTCTCTTATTCCCAAATCCTTGTCTTGTGCTACCCTGGCCACACACACCCTCATTGACATTAGACTGAACTTGGTATCCTAAAATATATAAATTGACTTGGATGTAATTGGCCCATTAGGAATTTTCTCTGCCCATGAAAGTGTATCATGCATTATTTATCAATAGAAGTCTTTTTAAAGTACATAAGTAGATATTAGGGGGAAAACATTTATTATCTTTCATAAGACCAGTGGGATAGAGATCACAGTGTTCTTCGTTAGTAATGACAGGACTTTTTTCTCCATTTAGCAAGCCGCTGCAGAACCACTTAATCTGACATTATATATAAAAGCATAATAGACCTTTTTAAAAAAAAAAAAAGTAAAAGATCCTAAGAGCAAGGACAAAGCTAGCAAGGAGATATGAGAAATAATTTACAGATGAGCAAATCACCAGCTTGGTAGAGAATACATTTCTTTGGATTTAGAGTCTGAAGACAACTTCTCAAGTTCTGCCTTTGACACTTAGTAAAACAAGGCTGAAAAATGTCATTTAGATTCAGTGACAGGGAAGCACTGGTGGCCTGGTGAGAGGTGTTTTGGAGAAGAGATTGGAATGGAATTCATTTTAAGTATATTAGAAGAGAATAAGTGGTGAAAAAAATGAGTACTGTCAGTTTACACAGTTCTTTGATAACTAATAAGGCGTGGTGTTGGGCGCCTATCCCAGTTCCTTGGGAGGCTGAGGCACAAGAGTCACTTGAACCCAGGAAGTAGAAGTTGCAGTGAGCCTAGATCATACCACTGCACTACAGCACTAGATCATACCACTGCACTACATCACTTTATATATGTTTGTAGATTGTTGTGGGGTGTTTTGTTTTAAGTAGGGACAGTATCTTGCTGTGTTGTCCAGGCTGGTCTCTCATCTCGAACTCCAGGGCTCAAGTGATCCTTCTGCCTTGGCCTCCTAAAGTGTTGGGATTACAGGCATGAGCCACTGTGCCTGGCCAATAGTCATTTGTTTAGTTTTGTTTCGAGTCCCACTCTGTCGTCCAGGCTACAGTGCAGTGGTGCCATCTTGGCTTACTGTAACATCCGCCTCCCGGGTTCAAGGAATTCTCATGTCTCAGCCTCCCAAGTAGCTGGGATTACAAGAGTGTGCCATCACTCCTGGCTAATTTTTTGTATTTTTAGTAGAAACGAGGTTTCGCCATGTTGGCTAGGCTGGTCTCAAACTCCTCACCTCAGGTTATCCACCTGCCTTTGCCTCCCAAAGTGCTGGGATTAAAGACATGAGCTACCTGGCCCAGTAATTTTTTTTTTTTTTTTTGAGATGGAGTCTCGCTCTGTCGCCCAGGCTGGGGTGCAGTGGCCGGATCTCAGCTCACTGCAAGCTCCGCCTCCCGGGTTTACACCATTCTCCTGCCTCAGCCTCCCGAGTAGCTGGGACTACAGGTGCCCGCCACCTCGCCTGGCTAGTTTTTTGTGTTTTTTTAGTAGAGACGGGGTTTCACTGTGTTAGCCAGGATGGTCTCGATCTCCTGACCTCATGATCCGCCCGTCTCGGCCTCCCAAAGTGCTGGGATTACAGGCTTGAGCCACTGCGCCCGGCCCAGTAATTTTTTTAATACTGAAATTTTTTTTTTTTTTTTTTGAGACAGGGTTTCACTCTTGTTGCCCAGGCTGGAGTGCCATGGTACGATCTCGGCTCACTGCAACCCCTGCCTCCCGGGTTCATGTGATTATCCTGTCTCACCCTCCCAAGTAGCTTGGATTACAGGCATGCACTACCATGCCCAGCTAGTTTTTTTTTTTCTTTTTGAGACAGAGTCTCACTCTGTCACCCAGGCTGGAGTGCAGTGCCTCCATCTCCACTCACTGCAAGCTCCGCCTCCCAGGTTCACGCCATTCTCCTGCCTCAGCCTCCCTAGTAGCTGGGACTACAGGTGCCTACCACCATGCCCGGCTAATTTTTTTATTTTTAGTAGAGATAGGGTTTCACCATAATAGCCAGGATGGTCTCGATCTCCTGACCTTGTGATCTGCCCACCTCGGCCTCCCAAAGTGCTGGGATTACAGGCATGAGCCACCGCACCAGGCCAATTTTTTGTATTTATAGTAGAGATGGGGTTTCTCCATGTTGATCAGATTGGTCTTGATCTCCTGACCTCAGGTGATCTGCCCTGCTCAGGCTCCCAAAGTGCTGGGATTACAGGTGTGAGCCCCCATGCCCAGCCTTTATACTAAAATTAGTCTTTCTCACTCTGTGTTTATTATTGCAACATTTTATTCTTATATCCATTATTATGTATTTATGTATCCACTGATTGATAGGATTTCAAAATATAATTTAATGTGCCTTATTCTGTCTACTGACTATATGTATCTTTTTTTTTTTTTTTTTTGAGACAGAGTTTCACTTTCGTTGCCCAGGCTGGAGTGCAATGGTGCGATCTCAGCTCACTGCAGCCTCCCGCCTTCCGGGTTCAAGCAATTCTCCAGCCTCAGCCTCCTGAGTAGCTGGGATTACAGGCACCTGCCACCGAGCCCAACTAATTTTTGTATTTTTAATAGAGATAGAGTTTCACAATGTTGGCCAGGCTGGTCTCGAGCTCCAGACCTCGGGTGATCTGCCCGCCTCGGCCTCCCAAAGTGCTGGGACTACAGGCATGAACCACCATGCGTGGCCACCCCATTTTTTATTTAAAAGAAAAGCCATAACATGTAAAATCCTATATATCTTTGTGTCTTTCTTTAACATTTTCAGAGGCTTCACACCAAATTGTTAATGATGCTTTTATCAAGGCCTTGAAATGGGGGAGAGGAGGGGCTAAAGAGGGGCCAGCGCAGAGTAGGAGGGAACAGTTTTTAAATTTTTTTTGGAGATAGAGTTTTGCTCCTGTCACCCAGGCTGAAGTGCAGTGGGGCAATCTTGGCTCACTGCATGCAGCCTCCACCTGCTGGGTTCAAGTGATTCTCCTGCCTCAGCCTCACGAGTAGCTGGGATAACAGGTATGCACCACCACGCCCGGCCAATTTTTGTATTATTATTAGAGACAGGGTTACACCATGTTGGCCAGGCTGGTCTCAAACTCCTGACCTCAGGTGATCCACCCGCCTCGGCCTCCTAAAGAGCTGGGATTACAGGCGTGAGCCACCGTGCCTAGCCTAAGCATGTACTTCTCTCTTTTTTTCTTTTTTTTGAGGTGGAGTTTCTCTGATGTTGCCCAGGCTGGAGTGCAATGGCACAATCTCAGCTCCCTGCAGCCTCTGCCTCCCATGTTCAAACGATTCTCCTGCCTCAGCCTCCTGAGTAGCTGGGAGTACAGGCACGCGCCACCACACCCGGCTAATTTTGTATGTTTAGTAGAGACGGGGGTTTCTGCATGTTGGTCAGGCTGGTCTCAAACTCCCAACCTCAGGTGATCCTCCTGCCTCGGCTTCCCAAAGTGCTGGGATTGTAGGCGTGAGCTGCCACTCCCAGCCCTAAGCATGTATTTCTTTAGTGATTCAGATGCCTGGGGGAAAAACATTCGGGGTGAAAAAATGAGGATAATACTTGCCAAACCTACTTTACATTATTGTAAAGGATTGTTGTAAGATAAAATGCAATAGGGAGTGTGAAAATGTTCTGAAAATTATTAAGTGCTGTTGAATGTGATAAAGTAGAAACAGTGATTTTTGAGTGTCATTTCAGTAGAGAGATAAAAGCCACTTTGGAAGGATTTGAAATAAGTGCTAATAAAGTCAGAGATGTGCATATCAGTTATTCATTGATTTGGCAGTAAAAGGATGAATAGAATTAGATGATGGAGAAGACTTTTCTCAAATTTTTAATTGGAAAGTTTTCTAACTTAAAAGTTGAAAGTAGCATAAATACTAACATAGCCTCAATCTAGACTCAACAATTATTAACATTTTGCTGTATTTGTTTTCTTTCTGTATGTCTATAGAAAATTTGGGTTTTTTTTTGTCAAACCATTTGAAAGCACATTGTAGGCATCATGACATTTTACCCCAAGTACTTCAACATGTGTATTTTAATAAGGACCTTGTCTTGCATAACCACAATACCATGTTCAGACTTAAGAAAATTAATAACTCTACAATATTTTCTGATACCCATTCCATACTCAGATTTCCCCAGTTCTAAAAGTCTTCATTAGGTAGAAGATTTTATTTCTTCAAGATCCAAAGTATATACATTGCATTCGCCTGTTACAGCTCAGTAGTCTCTTAATTTACAATACTCCCCCGTCCTTTTGTCTCTCCACATTATTAACCTGAGAAGGGGCTAAGACAGTTGTCTTACAAAATGTCCTGCATTCTAGATTTGTCTAGATTTCTCGTGGTGTAACTTTCCTTCTTAATCATTTCAGGTAACCTTTATCAAAAGGATGGAGCTGGGAAAAGGAAAACTACTCAGGACTGGACTGAACGCATTGCATCAAGCAGTGCACCTGATCCATGGCCTTGCCTGGACTGATGGGAATCAAGTTGTCCTAACTAATTTACAGCTTCACAATGGAGAGGTCAAGTTTGGGGACTCCAAAGTCATTGGACAATTTGAATGTGTCTGTGGGTTGTCCTGGGCCCCACCCGTTGCAGATGACACACCTGTTCTACTCGCGGTCCAGCAGGAGAAGCGTGTCACTGTGTGGCAGCTGTGTCCCAGCCCTACGGAGTCAAGCAGATGGCTGACGTCTCAGACTTGTGAGATTAGAGGATCACTACCTATCCTTCCCCAGGGCTGTGTGTGGCACCCAAAATGTGCTATTCTGACTGTGTTGACTGCTCAGGATGTCTCCATTTTCCCTAATGTGCACTCTGACAATTCCCAGGTAAAGGCAGATATCAACACCCAGGACCGCATTCACTGTGCATGTTGGACCCAGGATGGCCTGAGGCTGGTGGTGGCAGTAGGCAGCAGCCTGCATTCTTATATTTGGGACAGTGCTCAGAAGACTCTTCACAGGTGCTCCTCCTGCCTGGTGTTTGATGTGGACAGCCACGTCTGCTCCATCACGGCAACTGTGGACTCACAGGTTGCTATAGCCACTGAGCTTCCACTGGATAAGATCTGTGGCTTAAATGCATCTGAAACCTTTAATGTCCCACCCAACAGTAAAGACACGACTCTGTATGCTTTACCAGTTATTGGTGAAGTACCCTCTATTGATAAAGAGGCAACTGATTCTGAAAAAGATTCTGAAGTATCAGTTTCTTCTTCCTATTTAGAACCTCTGGATCTAACTCACATACATTTCAGTCAACATAAGTCTGAGGGTAATTCTCTTATTTGTCTAAGAAAAAAGGACTACTTGACAGGAACTGGCCAAGATTCTTCACATTTGGTTCTTGTGACTTTTAAGAAAGCAGTTACCATGACAAGAAAAGTCACTATTCCAGGCATTCTGGTTCCTGATCTGATAGCATTTAATCTTAAAGCACATGTAGTGGCAGTGGCTTCCAACACTTGTAATATAATTTTGATCTACTCTCTCATTCCATCTTCAGTCCCAAACATCCAGCAAATTCGATTAGAGAACACTGAAAGACCAAAAGGGATATGTTTCTTGACAGACAAACTATTACTAATTTTGGTAGGAAAACAAAAACTCACTGATACAACGTTTCTTCCTTCTTCAAAGTCTGATCAGTATGCGATTAGCTTGATTGTTAGAGAAGTAATGTTGGAAGAAGAACCTTCAATAACATCAAGTGAAAGCCATACTACCTACTCTACTTTCAGTGCTCCATTAAATAAAGCAAATAGAAAAAAGTTAATTGAAAGTCTTTCCCCAGATTTTTGTCACCAAAACAAAGGGCTGTTGCTGACAGCTAATACCAGTAGTCAGACTGGAAGGCCTGGAAGAACACTTATTAAAGAAATCCAGAGTCCTCTGTCTAGTATCTGTGATGACTCCATAGCCCTAGATGCTGAGCCTGTTACCCAGCCAGCATCGCTGCCCAGACACAGCAGCACACCAGACCACACCAGCACACTGGAGCCTCCTCATTTGCCTCAAAGAAAGAGCTTACAAAGTGAAAAGGAAACTTACAAGCTGTCTAAGGAAGTGGAAATTTTATCTAGGAACCTGGTTGAAATGCAGCGTTGTTTTTCTGAACTCACAAACTGTCTGCATAATGGGAGGAAATCCTCTTCAGTGTATCCACTCTCTCAAGATCTTCCTTACGTTCACATCATTTACCAGGTAAATTCTCCTTTGAGGAACTACCACTATACATAAAGCTCCTGTAGCCGGTGAGTACTGCAAGAAACGTATTGATGAGGAAGATGGTGCTCTAACTGAACTTCACTAAGCTGGGCATGTTGTTACAGGCAAGTTGGTACACCTTTGCAGGTTTGTTGGTTTTTAGCCTGCCAACCAGATAGGCACACATATCAGTCTACATCATGATTTTACCAGGTACATGGTGTGGAAAAATAAATGTCTGCAATAATTCTTTATATTTAGAAAAAAAATTAATCATGTTAATTCATTGTGACAACGTTTTCTTTATATAATAGAGATACTTCTCCACTTATAAAAAAGGTTATGTTGCCGGGCGCCATGATTCACGCCTGTAATCCCAGCACTTTGGGAAGCTGAGGCAAGTGGATCACCTGAGGTCAGGAGTTCGAGACCAGCCTGACCAACGTGGTGAAACCCTGTCTCTAAAAAATATATAAAAAGTAGCCGGGCATGATGATGGACGCCTGTAATCCCAGCTACTTGGGAGGCTGAGGCAGGAGAATCACTTGAGCCCGGGAGGGAGAGGTTTCAGTGAGCCGAGACTGCGCCACTGCACTCCATCCTGGGCAACAGAGACTCCATCTCAAAAAAAAAAAAAGGAAAAGGTTATGTTCATTTAAAATGTTTTGATGCATTTCTTTATGCATGCATATCCAAACATTATACAAATGGGATCATATTATACATATTTTTATCATGGACACTTTCCTGCTTTATAAAGTATGGCCTTGCCCCATCTTCCCCTTAATCTGCTGTAACCAGCAGCTTAACATGGATCCTTTCGTTACTTTCTTCATGCTTATATGATCTAACACAGGTCTTTGTGTACATAGATGTATAGGTATGTGGGAGTGGTTTGTCATTGTTTTTACAAAAATGGGGTGATATGCACTCTTCACTTCTTTTTTTTTTTTTTTTTTTTTTGAGACGGAGTCTCGCTCTGCCACCCAGGCTGGAGTGCAGTGACTGGATCTCAGCTCACTGCAAGCTCCGCCTCCCGGGTTTACGCCATTCTCCTGCCTCAGCCTCCCGAGTAGCTGGGACTACAGGCGCCCGCCACCTCGCCCGGCTAGTTTTTCGTGTTTTTCAGTAGAGACGGGGTTTCACCGTGTTAGCCAGGATGGTCTTGATCTCCTGACCTCGCGATCCGCCCGTCTCGGCCTCCCAAAGTGCTGGGATTACAGGCTTGAGCCACCGCGCCCGGCCCACTCTTCACTTTTTAATGAGAGTATGCTCTTTATTTAGCCATTCCCTTGTCGATTGACATTCACTTTGTTTTTAGTTTTTAGCTACTCCAAATAATGCTACAGTAGTACTCTTATATGTATCCATTCGTGTTAGTACCTTTATTTCTGTTGGATTTGTTCCCAGAAGTAGAAATGCAAATTTGAAGAGTATATGTGTTTCTACTTTTAATAGAATTGCCAGATTGCCTGTCAAAGATTTTTACTTAACAATGCATCATCACACGCCTACCAGCTATGTATAAGGCTGTCCTTTTCCTCATATGTCACCAATCTGATCAGTGATCCCTCTGCTTCAGCCTCCTGAGCAGCTGAGACCACAGGCACATGCCACCACAGTTGGCTAATTTTTTTTTTTTTAAGCAGAGACAGGATCTTGCTATGTTGTCTAGGCTGATCGTGACCTCCTAGGCTTAAGTGATCGTCTTGCCTCAGCCTCCAAAAGTGCTGGGATTACAGGTGTGTGCCACTGCATGTGGCCCCAACCCTACGTTTTTTTGAAGAGGATTTTTGCCACATTAACTACATGAAGTTTTCAGTAATAGAGTTTTACTTTTTTTTTAATTAAAAAACTTTTTTTTTACTTTTTTTTTTTTTTAAACTATAGAGACAAGGTCTTGCTATGTTGCCCAGGCTGGTTGGAAGCCCTGGGCTCAAGCAGTCCTCCTGCCTCAGCCTCCCAAAGCGCTGGGATTACAGGTGTGAGCCACTGCACCCAGCGTAGTTTTGATTTTTTAAAAAATTATTTTATTTATAAATGTGATAACTGGTTTGGATTTCTTTCCTACTATGACTTTTTAAAGAATTTTTTTTCTTCTATCTTTTTTTAATAGGTAATTCATTTATTTGGTTTAAAAAGCAAAACTATTTTAATAAAAACTGTATACTAAGAACTCTTACTCCTACCCCATGTTTCCTCAGCCTGTTCTCCTTTCCTCCTTTAGGTAACCATTTTTATTTTTATTTCTTTATGCAGATACTAGGAGACTTTAGTTATGGTTTTTTTTTTTTTTTTTTTTTTTGAGGCAGAGTCTCGCTCTGTCTGTCACCCAGGCTGGAGTGCAGTGGCGCAATCTCGGATCACTGTAAGCTCCGCCTCCCAGGTTCACGCCATTCTCCTGCCTCAGCCTCCCAAGTAGCTGGGACTATAGGTGCCCGCCACCACGCCCCGCTAATTTTTTGTATTTTTAGTAGAGATGGGGTTTCACCGTATTAGCCAGGATGGTCTCGATCTCCTGACCTCGTGATCCGCCCGTCCCGGCCTCCCAAAGTGCTGGGATTACAGGCTTGAGCCACCGCGCCCGGCCTAATTATGTATTTTTATTTCCCCTTTTGTTACACAAAAGGGAAGGTGATATATACACCTTTTCATTTTCCATTTAATAGTATGTCCTAAAGAGCTCTTCATATCAGCACACAGAGCTCTTTTTTCATCTTTTTTTCCACAGCTGCATAGTATTTTTTTTTCCTAATTACAAAAGTAATATATACTTGTTGAAGAAAAAAATTTAACCATTACAGAAAGTAAAAATTTTCCATAATCCAACCTTTAGAGAAAATCACAGATATAGTTAGATATTTTATTAGATGTTAGATGTAAATATTTCCATATTTTTTCTGTATCTAATAAAAAAACTTTAAATTTATTTTAAAAATATATTATTTTAAAATTTTTCTTTAAATAGGCTATGTTACTTGCAAACAATAATATATCTTTCATTTTTAAAACATTTATAAATGTAAAATTTTGTATTTTTAAAAACTAAGGTTAAAACAACCATGTTTGGTCAGGCACAGTGGCTTCAACCTGTAACCCCAGAACTTTGGGAGGCCAAGATGGGTAGATCACTTGAGTCCAGGAGTTCGAGACCAGCCTGGGCAACATGGCAAAACCCCGTCTCTTCCAAAAAATAAAAAAATTAGCCAGCCATGATGGCACCCACCCATATTCCCAGTTGCTTGGGAGGCTGAGGTGTGAGGATCACCTAAGCTGAGGAGGTTGAGGCTGCAGTGAGCTGTAATCATGCCACTGCACTCCAGCCTGGGAAACAGAGCAAGGTTATGTCTCAAAAAAAAAAAAAAAAAAAAAAAAGTTTTCTTGCCCTTTCAATTCCTCAGTTTTTTAGTTTATAATGATGTAATCCAACTAAGCTGTTGTCAGTAGTTATCTCTGGAGGATAGAATTGTGGGGACTTTACTGTCTGCATTATATTTTTCTGTTATACTTTTATTTTATTTTATTTATTTTTAGATACAGCCTCCCTTTGTCACCCAGGCTGGAGTGCAGTGGCGTGATCTTGGCTCACTGCAACGTCCGCCTCCTGGGTTCAAGCAATTCTCGTGCCTCAGCCACCCAGGTAGCTGGGATTACAGGTGTGCACATCTACACTCAGCTAATTTTTGTATTTATAGTAGAGACGAGGTTTCACCATGTTGGCCAGGCTGGTCTCAAACTCCTGACCTCAAGTGATCCACCGGCTTTGGCCTCCCAAAGTGCTGGGATTAGGCATGAGCCACCACACCTGGCCCTATTATACTTTTAAAAAATTGATCATGTCTTCCTTTTGTAATGAGAAAAGTAAAAGTTAAAAAAACAAAATAATCAAAAGCAAGAAATAGTTTCCCCTGTAATTTCAGAAGTTACATTTCATAAGAGGTGAAATAAACGATTTGTTGTTTTTGACTTTTACAGTTTATTCCTATGACTTCATTTAAAAATATTAGTGGGGTGCAGCACACCAACATGGCATAGGTATACATATGTAACAAACCTGCACGTTGTGCACATGTACCCTAGAACTTAAAGTATAATAATAATAATTTAAAAAAAATTAGTGGACATATTTTTTGAGTGGTTCATCCTATCACAATGACGTATAATTTATTTACTTTTTACAAGATGGGGTCTTGCCATGTTGCCCAGGCTGCTCTCCAACACCTGGGCTCAAGCAATCCATATACTTTGGTCTCCCAAAGTGCTTAACAACAAAATAAATTAGACATATAACTTATACAACTGTCCTTTATTTATATTTATTTATTTATTTATTTGTTTGTTTGTTTATTTATTTATTTATTTATTTATTGAGATGGAGTCTGTCTCTGTCACCCAGCCTGGAGTACAGTGGCGCCTTCTCAGCTCACTGCAACCTCTGCCTCCTGGGTTCCGGTGAGTCTCCTACCTCAGCCTCCTGAGTAGCTGGTACTACAAGCGTGTGTCACCACGCCTGGCTAACTTTTTTATTTTTTGTAAAGACATGGTTTTGCCATGTTTCCCTGACTGGTCTTGAACTTCTGGGCTCAAATCATCTGTCCATCTTAGCCTCCCAAACTTTTGGGACTAAGGGGTGAGCCACTGTGCCCAGCCAATGTTTAATGACTTTACAATTTACAAATCATTTATTTTTATTAGTGCTTTTTCTAAGCTGTGTGAATTTTGACCACAGTTTGTTTATTTTATGTAAATCCTCCGCTACTCTACCACTTAGGACACTCAGCATTTTTTTTCCTAGTAAACCATGAAGTGTCTAAGCTATATCTGAAACAGCCAAGCAGCTGTTCTCACCGTCAGATTGTGTCTCTCAGGCTGCTGTCCATCATCCTTTTAGTGTTATTAGTTGTATTCTAGGAGAGCCAGTTCCTAATGATGAAGAACCCTGAGGAAAGAGTAGAACAAAAGGAAAAATAAATTAAGGCTATTTTGTTTGGATTTTTTAGTTGTATTAAATAATGTAGCAAAGAGCTCCTTAAACCTGAAGTCCAGTTGATTAGTGGTAATAGATAAGTTTTTTTTGAAAAGTATTTACACATTCCTTTCTCAAGAAATGTTAACTCCATTACTTCTGCAATCAGTTTAACAACTTTTATTTTTTATTTGCAGAAACCTTATTATCTAGGTCCTGTTGTTGAAAAAAGAGCGGTGCTTCTCTGTGATGGTAAACTAAGGCTCAGTACAGTTCAGCAGACTTTTGGCCTTTCTCTCATTGAAATGCTGCATGGTAGGTCATGTTCAGAAATTGACCCTACCTAACATCCTTGCCTCCCCCACCATCTATTTTAACTACGCCAGTAATGAAAATGAGGGGTACCAACCATTCAGTAATTCTAGATAGTTAACAAGTAATTTATTATTATTATTATTATTATTATTATTGAGACAGGGTCTTCCTCTGTTGCCCAGGCCAGAGTGCCGTGGTGTGATCATAGCTCACTGCAGCTGCGAACTCCTGATCTCAAGCAATCCTCCCATCTCAGACTCCTACCTAGCGAGAACTATAGGTGTTCACCACCATGCCCAGCCAAGTTTTTTTTTTTGTTTTTTACTTTTTTTTGGAGATGGAGTCTTGCTCTGTCACCCAGGCTGGAGTGCAGTGGCGCAATCTCGGCTCACTGCGACCTCCGCCTCCCGGGTTCAAGCAGTTCTCCTGTCTTAGCCTCCTGAGTAGCTGGGACTACAGGCACACGCCGTCACACCTGGCTAATTTTTTGTATTTTAGTAGAGACGGGGTTTCACTGTGTTGCCCAGGCTGGTCTCTAATTCCTGAGCTAAGGCAATCTGCCCGCCTTGGCCTCTCAAAATGCTGGGATTACAGACGTGAGCCACCGCACCCAGCCTCAGCCAAATTTAAAAAAAAAAATTTTGTAGATAATGGGATCTCACTCTGTTGCCCAGGCTGGTCTTGAACTCCTGACCTCAAGTAATCCTCCCACTTTGGCCTCCCAAAGTGCTATGATTACAGGCATAAGCCACCACACCCAGCCTTAAGTATTATTAATTGCCTACTATATACCCAGGCCTAGTATAGGTGCCAAAACATATGGAAAATATACACCCTGTCCTTAGGGAACTTACAGCCTAGCTGGAAAAGTTAATTGTATATATGAAAAAATTAGAAAAGAGTTACAAAGCAGTGTATAACAACTGCAAGAAAGTAACAGAAAGCCTCAGTATTTATTTATATTGCACTAAAATGTAATGATCATAGCAGCATTGCAGAATATTTCTTTCTTTTTTTTTTTTTTGAGACCTAGTCTCACTCTGTCACCCAGGCTGGAGTGCAGTGGCACGGTCTTGGCTCACTGCAACCTCTGCCTCCTGGTTTCAAGTGGTTCTCCTGCCTCAGTCTCCCAGGTAGCTGGGACTACAGGTGCGTGCCATCACGCCCTGCTAATTTTTTATATTTTGAGTAGAGATGGGGTTTCACCATGTTAGCCAGGATGGTCTTGATCTCCTGACCTCAAGATCTGCCCACCTTGGCCTCCCAAAGTGGTGGATTCTAGGCGTAAGCCACCACACCCAGCCTGCAGAATATTTCTTTGAAGAGTTGTCATTCTAACATGGAGTAAACATGGATGTTCAAAGGATACTCCTAAGTGGCAAGGGACTGAGTCATGCCAGATTTATCAGATGTGGCGCATGGTTGTTTTCTTATGCCTCATTCTTGTAACAGTAGCCACCACATTGAACATCAAGTATCATTTCATTTTTTTCCCCTTTTTCCCCTACCTGACCCTAAGTAATGCCCAGTCTTCCTAATACCCCATTCTCTGTAAAATCTGATAAGGATTGAGTTGAATATTATCAACTACTGTATTCCTTCACTCAGAAAAAAAAAATTTGTAGTCATATGTTTCTTTTTTTTTTCTTTTTTTTTTTTTTGAGACGGAGTCTTGCTCTGTCGCCCAGGCTGGAGTGCAGTGGCCGAATCTCAGCTCACTGCAAGCTCTGCCTCCCAGGTTTACGCCATTCTCCTGCCTCAGCCTCCCGAGTAGCTGGGACTACAGGTGCCCGCCACCTCGCCCGGCTAGTTTTTTGTATTTTTTAGTAGAGAGGGGGTTTCACCGTGCTAGCCAGGATGATCTCGATCTCCTGACCTCATGATCCGCCCGTCTCGGCCTCCCAAAACGCTGGGATTACAGGCTTGAGCCACCACGCCCGGCCTGTAGTCGTATGTTTCATCATAAGAATAATATATACTAAATTGCCTATGTATTTATTTTTATTTGCAGATTGTCACTGGATTCTTCTCACTGCTGATAATGAGGGCTTTATCCCGTTAACCTTCACAGCCACACAGGAAATAATCATAAGAGATGGCAGCCTGTCCAGGTCAGATGTCTTCAGAGACTCTTTTTCCCGCAGTCCAGATTCTGTTTCTTCTCTTAAAGTCTTTACAGGCCTTGCTGCCCCCAGTTTAGATACCACTGGCTGTTCTAACCATGTAGATGGCATGGCCTGATATCTGCAGTGTCCTTGCTGTGTAGTTCTTCAGATGAGACCATTACAAACAAGGCCTGCTTGCCACTGTGGACACTCACCAATGAGACTCGCACTGCACTCAGGCGAAGCACTTGCTATGGTTGGCTCTCCTGGTTTCCCCCCGTTTCCCCTGGGCTGAGGCTCGCTGCTGTGTAGCAGAGCTCAGTCTTTATTAGATGGCTCCGAAAGTGGTGTTTATGTATTCATGACTGTGTGGTTTTGACTAAGGGCAGAATTCCCAGAACAAAACAATATTATGGTGCCATATGGATTGTTTTATGGTTTCTCTGAGACTTTGTGTCCCTTGTCCAAAGCTGCATTGAAGCTGTCTTAGGCGCACTTCAAAGATACCTCGGCATTGTTATAGGTCTTTTTCCGGGCTTCAAGAGGAGGGTGAGGAGTCAGCTGGGGGGCATGTGCTCTAGCATATTAACCTCAAACCAGCAAGAATTAGCAGAGCTCAAAGGAGGACCAGAAACCCACTGGCTTCCGCTCCCAGGAACAGGAAGTGGCTCTGATGTTGCCTGGACCTCCCAGAATTTAAACCTAACACTCTTGCTTCCTTAACAAATTCTGGCTGACAAAGGTCCAGGTACTCTTAAAAACTGACCCTGGGAAAATTTTGAATGAAATTTCAAGGGAATTTGTCCCCTCTGGGCTCCACTGAGATTGTGCCGGTGCTGCTAGCACACTGTCGAGCCCAGGGAAGTCCTACTGCAGGATCCTGTGCTGTGGCCACTCATGAGTGTCCCTGAAATACCTTTTTTTTTTTTTTTTTTAAATCTAGTTTTGGGATCATACAAGTTTCCTGTTTTTCTCCCAGTAGTCAGCTCCCTTAGTCAACTTGTCACTTTAATTTGGTATTTTTATTTTCTCTCCTTTCAAATCTTAGAGACCAGCAGAGAATCTGGGAGAGAAAGTATTTCAGGATGTTGGAAATTTAACTGAATCTGAGGTAGTTCTAAAAAGTGCCATTTTGCTTCATTTATGGGCTAAAGTATCAGCTTAGTCAGGTAAGAGCCCTGACCCCCTTCAGATGGACACACTACTTCTGACTGCCTTCAGATGGAATCACAGATTTCAGTCAGGGCAGCATAACAAATTGATCAGTGTATGGCTGGGCGTCTGCAGATAAATTGTTTCAGCTGTAGAAGCTCCATTAGCATATACGCTTCCTTTTTCCCCCTTCCTTTAAAATCATCTGGAAAGAAACTGTTTTGTGCCCTTGGGGACTCCTGTCTGTCTGTTTCAGTTTACCAAGATGGAGCTGGGTTAGGAAAGAAGTGAGGGCCCATTTTGTGGTTCAAGTGCACTAGACAGCTGCTGGGGTAATGGAAGCAGAGGCGATGTCTGTAATCAGCTGTGGGAGAGCGGTGACTGAGAACAGTCTGAGGTCTCCGCTTGGAAGTATCTGGGGTGTGATGAAATCACAATTATCTTGAAGCCTAAGAGGGGACTACAGGACTGTTAACTAAGATAATGTAGGCGCCTAAAAGGGTATGTTACAATCACCATTTCTCAGGTCAAAATACTGTGAATAAGTCTTCAATAAAATCACTAATGGTTATTGTGGCTGTTTTGGATGTTTTGGTAGTATTTTCTTTGTGATTATTGCTGCTATAGAGGAACTGGCAATAATCTTGAAGTTATATATGCATATGTTATCTGTATTCCTTCTTCGGGTGGACAGTCCAGAATATAAATGATTCTTTACAACAAATCTGATTCCATGACAACTCTCATACAAGAGATGTTTCCTTGGCCTCTGCTATTATCGCAGTCACTGGAACAATAGAAAATGATCCCGTATTTGCTGGCTTTGGAGGCAGGGAGAGAAGAGCTAAATTCCTCAAAGTATTGTTTAATGTTCTACTGAAAATATTTATCATAAAGATATTTTTACAAATCCCATTTTGCATTCAAGTTTTTCTAAATTCTGAATGGGTATTATGTGATATGTATTACATATATATGTAACATAAGGTATAGGAAGGCTTAAATAATAACATGAGGCCGGGCGCAGTGGCTCACGACTGTAATACCAACACTTTTGGAGGCCGAGGCGGGTGGATCATGAGGTCAGGAGATTGAGACCATCCTGGGCTAACATGATGAAACCCTGTCTCTACTGAAAATACAAAAAATTAGCCAGGCGTGGTGGCAGGCCTCTGTAATCCCAGGTACTTGGGAGGCTGAGGCAGGAGAATCACGTGAACCCGGGAGGCAGAGGTTGCAGTGAGCCGAGATTGTGCCACTGCACTCCAGCTTGGGCGACAGAGCGAGAAAAAAAAAAAAAAAAAAAAGAAAAAAAAATATATATATAAAAATAAATAAATAAATAAAATGAACCACCCATGGCCTAACTGAAGAACCAGAACATGACCAGAAACCACTCAAGCTGCTGTCCCTCCTTGTTCCTATCTCCATAGCTTTGCCTCAGACGTAACTATCCTGATTGTTGTAATTATCAGTTCTTCATTCCTTTTCTTTCTTTATAAAAGGAGTTTTACAACCACATATACACATTGGCTGAAACAATGTGATTTTTATTTTTGCTTGTTTTGAGCTTTATACAAATGGTGTATATTATATATAGTCTTCAGTGACTTACTTTTTATTCTCTCAGCGTTGGTGCTAAGATTCATCCTTGTTGTGTGCATGTTATATTATTTTCACTGTTTTGAATTGCCACAATTTATCCATTTTCCTGCCATGGACATTTGGATTGTTCCTTGGATTTATTTTTGAAGTTATAAACAATACTGCTTTGAATATTCTCATAAATGCCTCCTGATCCAAGTGTTTGAAAAGTCTCGTTAGGGTCTTTTACCTAGAAATGGAATTGCTGGATCACGAGGTATAAGTTCACCTTGATGAGATAATACCAAGTTATTTTCCAAGATGGTTATATCACTTTCACTCCCAACAGCAATGTATCAGAGCTCCTATTCTACATTCTCAACTTGGGACTGTCTAGGAGTTTTAAATGCTGTCTCACTGTCACCCTTATTTTATTTTATTTTTATTTTGTTTTTGTTTGTTTTTTTTTTGTTTTTTTTGAGTCAGAGTCTCGCTCTGTTTCCCAGGCTGGACTGCAATGGCACAATCTCAGCTCACTGCAACCTCTGCCTCCCGGGTTCAAGAATTCTCCTGTCAGCCTCCTGAGCTGGGATTACAGACGCCCACCACCACACCTAGCTAATTTTTGTATTTTTAGTAGAGATGGGGTTTCACCATATTGGCTAGGCTTGTCTCAAACTCTTGACCTCAAACGATCCACATGCCTCGGCCTCCCAACGTGCTGGGATTACAGATGTGAGCCACCGCGCCCGGCCCCTTAGTTTTACTTACAGACCAGCAGTGAGCTTGAGCATCATTTCACAGATGTTTATGGGCTGTTCAAGTTTTCTTTTGCAAAATTCTTGATTATATCATTGGCTCAATTTTCATGTTGAGTTGTTAGGATTCTTTATATATCTAGATGTTGCTAGTGTCTTCATCCACTTTGTGGACCTATCTTTGCCTTCTCTCTCTCTCTCTCTCTTTCTCTCACTCTTTTTTGTAGAGAGCAGGGTCTCACTGTGTTGCTGAGGCTGGTCTTGAACTCCCAGACTCAAGCTGTCCTCCTGCCTTAGCCTTTCAAAGTGCTTGGATTACAGGCCTGAGCCACAACACCTGGCCTTTCCTCCCTTTTTTTTTTTTTTTTTTTGAGACCTAGTCTTGTTCTGTCTCGCAGGCTGTAGTGCGGTGGCATGATCACTGCTCACTGCAACCTCTACCTCACAGGTTCAAGAAATTCTCCCACCTCAGCCTCCTGAGTAGTTGGGACTACAGGCATGCGCCACCTTGCCTGGCTAATTTTTGTGTTTTTAGTAGAGACGGGGTTTCATCATGTGGGCCAGGGTAGTCTCGAACTCCTGCTGGCCTCCTCTTTCTTTATACCTCGTGTGTTGGACAAGCATCGTAATTTTAAGGAGGACACACATTTACCTATCTTCTCTTTTATGGAAGTTTTGTCTTCACATTTATGTCTGTAATCATTATTCTGCTGGATAATTTTATTTGTTTGGGGGGTTTTGGTTGTTGTTGTTTTTTGAGATGGAGTCTTGCTCTGTCACCCAGGCTGGAGTGCATTGGCACAATCTTGGCCCACTGCAACCTCCATCTCCCGGGTTCAAACCATTCTCCTGTCTCAGCCTCCTGAGTAGCTCGGATTACAGGTGCCCCCCCCAACCACACCCATCTAATTTTTGCCAGGCTGGTCTCAAACTCCTGATCTCAAGTGATCTGCCCACCTCAGCCTCCCAAGTGCTAGGATTACAGGCATGAGCCACTGAGCCCGGCCTCTGCTGGATAATTGAGGGGCCCCTCCGCAGAGCTCCAGAGTTCATGCTCTGCATTGGTCTGTGTGGTAAATTTCATTTGATAGATTTTCTGTGTTCTTTTTTTGAGACAGAGTCTCTCTCTGTCACCCAGGCTGGAGTGCAGTGGCGTGATCTTGGCTCACTGCAACCTCTGCCATCCGGGTTCAAGCAATTCTCCTGCCTCAGCCTCCCAAGTAGCTGGGATTACAGACACCTGCCACCATGCCTGGCTAATTTTTGTAGTTTTAGTACAGACAGGGTTTCACCATCTTGGCCAGGCTGGTCTTGAACTCCTGACCTCATGATCCACCCTCCCAAAGTGCTGGGATTACAGGCATGAGCCACCACGCCTGGCTGATAGGTTTTTTTAATGTTAAACTTGCATTCTTGGAATAAACCCAGTATGTTCCTGGTATATTTATTTTTTTATACATTGCTAGACTCATTTTGCTATTATTTTGTTTAAGATTCTTCCTTTCTCTGTTAATGGGTAAGATTAGCCTGTAAATCCTTTTTCTATTTTTGAGACAAGGGGCTTGCTCTGTCGCCCAGGCTGGAGTGAGTGGCACTATCACAGCTCACTGCAGCCTCAACCTCCTGGCCTCAAGCAGTCCTCCCACCTTAGCCCCCCAAGTAGCTGGGACTACAGGTGCATGCCACCACACCCAGCTAATTTTTAAAAACTTTTTTGGTAGAGATGGAGTCTCCCTTTGTTGCCCAGGCTTTTCTTGAACTCCTGGGCTCAAGTGACCCTCCCACCTTGGCCTCCTAAAGTCTCAGGATTACAGGCTTGAGTCATCACACCTGGCCTTTTTCCTTTTTAATGTGCTTGGCTGGTTTTGGTAAGAAGCTTACTCTGGCTTGATAGAATGAGTAGCAGAGTGTGCCTTCTTTGTCTGCTCTGTGGTGGAGTTTGTGTGAGGTAGGAATGATCCTTGATTGAAAGTTTGCTAGAACTTGGAAAAATCATTTGGGTCTGGTGTTTTCTTTGTGGGTATATTTTACAATATTTATTTAATTCCCTTAATATATATGAGACTAAAAGGAGAAACTTTTTTTTTCTATAACCACAGAACACTTCTGACATCAAATGTGCGGGTTTTCCACAACAAGTGATTCTTCAGTTCTCTGTGGACTTGAACTGGGTACCTACAATTTCATTCAATTCTAACACTACCCAGAGTGAGTGCAGACCCAGTAGGTTATGGGCGCAGTCCAACAGGCTGGTCCCCACTTCCGATACCAGTAGTGGGTATTTTTATTTTTGAGACAGGGGCTTGCTCTGTCGCCCAGGCTGGAGTGAGTGGCACTATCACAGCTCACTGCAGCCTTAACCTCCTGGCCTCAAGCGGTCCTCCCACCTTAGCCCCCCAAGTAGCTGGGACTACAAGTGCATCAAATGTACAAGTAGTGGGTCTCCAGGTGATACATACTTCTCTCCAACTTGGCTGCAAATAGGGGATTCCCACAAAACCCTCCTCAGATTTGATAATTTCCTATAATGCATAGAACACAGAGAAACACTTTACTTAACATTTATTGGTTTATTATAGAATGAACAGCCAGATGAAGAGGTATATAGGATGAAGTCTAAAAGGGTCCCATACACAGGAGTTTCTGTCCCCGTGGAGTGGGTTAGACGTCCTGGCACATGGATGTGTTCACCAACCTAGAAGCTCTCTGAACCCCTTCGTTGGGAAGTGGAGGCTCCATTTCATGGGCACAATTGATGAAATCATTGATGATGAGCTCAGTCTTCAGCCCCTGTCCCCTCCCGGTAGGGAGATAAGGCTGAAAGTTTCAACCTTCTAATCGCATGGTTGGTTTCTCTGGCAACCAGCCCCCATCCTCTGCGAGTCACATCATTAGCATAAACTCAGATCTGTTTGAAAAGTGCTTATTATGTATAACAAAAGATATTCCCCTCACCCCTACCACTCAGGGAGTTACTAGCATTTTAGAAGCTCTGTGCCAGGAACCTGGGGCAGAGACCAAATGTGTGTTTCTTATGTCACAGGGACCATTTAGGATTTGTATATATTTATATACATACACATATATACTCTGTTCAGTTATGTTTGCTTTGAAAACCCAAATTTGTTCTAACATGGCTGTGATATTAGAGAACAAGTACAGCATAATGTGAATTTCCTATTACTTATACACCAGTTTTGTCCTTAAGAAACACTAGAGCTGGGAACGGGGGCTTG